TTCTAAAGCTAATTGAAAAACAATGTTAAGTGTGTTAAGTGTTACATTTTTGTGAGTTCCTCAGGAAATAAAGTGTGGATCTTGAAGTAAAAGATCAGACATATTTAAGGTGTTGAGAGCTAAGAACTTGAGTTTGTACAATTTGGTGCAGATTCAAATAATCTTCCACTGGATTCAGAAGAAGAGTTGTGATCATAGTGCATCACACCCTCAGCATTTAGGAATGCATACACCAGTATTTCACTCAACATTTAAGTTTGTTTTTGATTTTTTTTTCTTTTTAATTTATGTCTCTAAACGTCTAGACAAACAAACTTCACCATCAACGATAAGCTTGTGTTAACAGTAAAAACAGTCACTTATCCAGAGTTAACTATTCTGCCAAGAAGCAGAAGCAGAAATCAGTTAGTTAGTTATCATGATTTTTAGTTTAAATATTCAGTGCCAAAAGCAGAACTAATTCAAACACAGCCAGTTTTATTTTTCATGGGATTCTCTGTCCAAAGTACCGATGTGTGTCCATTTTCTCCTCAAATGGTTCTTGTTTTTGAATGAGTTTCCCCTAACGTACAACAAAAACTAACTGCTTGTTTAAACATTTAATTGAAAGGATAAATACTGTATTCTTTACACATATAATTTTTGTTAAGAAAATCCAGCCAGGATCTATATTCTTGGTTAAAAGCTTTTTTTTATTGGTTACAATAACTCATGGCAACATATCAGTATCACCAAGCCACTGTACAAATACAAAAAAAAGGTCTGGTGTGAAAAAGACTATAAAAATTATTCCATAACAAGTGATTATAATTTCACACAATAGCACTGTAAGAGAATTATCATGGCACCAAGTCCCTGGTCTTTACTGGCTTAAAACATAAAACAATAAATAAAACAAAATAAAAAAAATGTCAGAACAGTAGGTTGTAGAGTCAAGGGGCAGTGCATTATTTTGTGAGGGTGCTGTGGTTATGTGATGCAACCAATTCAAGTGGTGCGGTGTCGGAAGATTTCTTTCCTCCTATGGTGACTGTTTATCAGAAAAACAACTCTTTTATTCAAATGTTAAATTTGAGTTTCATGCAAATACAGTCTTCAAAAATACTGCCAGAACATGTGTCACATCTGCTCTTGAAGTTAGGTGTTGGCACTGTGGGTGACAATGGCCAAAATTGCCTATAATACTAATCCCAAACATGCTTGCTCCAGGGATTAAAATATGTCACAGATTTAGGTTCTGGTACTTCAGACCCTGAATGCATCAAGTGTTGTTTTTTTGTAACACCAGAGAATCTGATCCAACAGCTCCATAACAGTTGAGTAGTTATGGGATTGAACTGGGAGAGACTGCAGGTAAATTCAACAGTAATGAGAAAATAAATGAAGTCAAGCACCTTTTTTGATTAATGAGTCTACTGCACTACGTAGATGAATGAACTGCACAGGCACGTAGAAGTGTTAATTTACTATTCCAGGTTCCAGCTGCTAATTCTGCTGAATAACACACACAGTGAGGAAATGGCTGCCTGCTGAATATCACTGTCAGTAATACAGACGACCCTTTTTCACCTGGTAAGGGCTATGGTGTTTTTTTTTTTTTAATTTCACACAGTTGATGATGGCGTATGAAAGTGAGAACAAGGTCGGTTTAGAGGAATAGTTAAACATAATGGGAAATAGCTTATTCCTTTTCCAGCGGAGATGAGAAATGAGATGAATCATTTCTGTCTGCTAAACATACCGCTGGCTAGCTTAGCTTAGCACAAAGACTGGAAACTGGAGCTAGCATGGCCCTTTCAAGCACTAAAATTAACTGCATACAAGATCTAAAACTCACTGATTAGAATGTTAATGACAAATTAAGCTATGTCTGATTGTTTAATATATACAAAAACTTAAGTGTAAAAAAGGTAATTTGCCTTTTAATGGGCGGGGGACCAGTTATGTGCTGGAACAGTTGCCAGGCAACCAATGGAGACTCCTGCTCAAGGCTGCTGCTTGTACTTAGTATTTCCATAATGGGCTACTTTTTCTTTAATGGGTTTGTAAAAATGAATTTAATCTATTTGGCAGGTTGTTATGATTTGGGCTGTTTCCACCTACAAAAAGTCATTTCAGACGTTCTCTTGGTGGGCAGGAGCGGCAGTGATGCGCGGCACATGGAGGCAATTAAGGTGAGCTACCATACTTTAAACTTGTAATGTTTAATGCAACATTTGCCGAAAGCCTCTGTAGCCTAATATTTAACAGACAAATATGAGAGTTGTATGAATCTTCTAATCCAAATGCCTGAAAGTGGACATTTCCCAAAATGTCGAACTCTTCCTTTAAATACAAACCATCAGTCCATCATTTTGTCACATTTATCTGGGGACACATGAACATCTGATGTCCACTGTCTGAAATAGAAACTTGAGTCTTATAAGCACAGTCAACTTAATAACATTTTGAGATACAAAAACCCAGCTTCAGATATAAGCGATCCACCTGTTTGTTCAGACAACAGATTGGGTATAAAATCAAACTCTGATGTGACCTTAATCAAAGGAGATGGACAAGGCTGGCACTTGAGTAAAGTGAGCTAACATGTTTTGTTTGTTTTTTTTTTTTGTTTGTTTTTTTTTTGTTTTTTTGTCACATCGACTAGTTTTCAGTTCACAGCTCAGGGTCTGTGGATAACATTGGCACAAATAAGGAAGTAACACTTAGATCTATATGTTATCCACATACATTACCAAATCAACCCCCTCCCTTCCCTCCCGTCCCCCCACACACACCTCAACACTGATATGCAATACATATCACATCCTACACACCTCAAAGATATTCTCAGGCTAAAAACTATAACTGTTATTTTTAACATTCTCTCAAAATGGATTCATTAATGCAGAGCCAGGTAGAAGCAGCTAAAACATTAAAAAAAGAAAAAATATATATCACTAGAATCACGGTATGCCAAAGAGGGGTTTCATTGATAGCTGATTGAACCTTAATAAATACTACAAACTGTACGGTAGTAGTAGAAAGCAGAATTGTATAAAAAAGTGATGTAAAACACTTGCTTTAAGAAGAGTATGGAGCTGCATGTGGTCATGGTGGTTTACTGTAAGCATGCTATTTAGTGTTCACTAGTATCAGAATGTGCTTCTATTGGGAAAAGAAAAAAATAGCAATATTTCTTATTGATCAGTGTTTAAAAAGGAATAGTAAGAGGAAAACATTACTGTTGTCGATGCTAGTATTACCTTCTATTATGAATGGTATCGTAAGGCAGAATGGAGACACAAAAGTGCCACATCTCACAGGAGCAGAAACCCTCCTTTATTCGGCCCGCGTGGGTCAAATGTTTATATTTAGAGATAGGCACCTGAGACAGCTGATGGATAGGTCCAACTCACACACATTATGTGTTTTAAGTTTTAGAAATGAAGCCTTTTTGAGGAACCAAAATAATGGAAGATGTGTGATGAGAAAATACTCAAAATCAGAAATACTACCTCTATGGGTAAATAAGTCACGTGCTCCATGGTTTACATTTGTACTACAGTTTGTGAGTGCATTTCTAGCTCTCTACTAAATGTACATTTCTGTCTACCAAGTGTACTTTCTTCACTAGCAATATCTAACATTTCATAACATGTTTTTGGTGAGGAAAAAAAAAATATCACTGAGAGTGTTAAACCCTTTAAAAAATCTTTTTTGTTTGTTTTTTTCCTTTTTTTTTTTTACAGGCTTGTGGTGGCACTGATGTGATTTTGGAGTGGCTAACATGATATCAGTCCCATGCAGTCACTCAGTTCACACCTTGCAGATGACAAAAAAAAAAAAGGACTCATTGATCCTTCATTTAGAAAAAAAAGAAGAGAAAAAGAAAAATGACATGACAGACATCTTTCTCTCTCTTCATCTTTTCTCTAGTCCTCAGAGGCTGCTGACAGAGTCGCTGCTGTCCTTTATGGTCCTTTAATATCCTCACATAATGACTGAGCACTCTCCCATTTGTCCATACAGGCATCATTGCCGTAACAGGCTCACAGGCAGAGAGCAGCTTCTGCTTGGGAAGAATACGTCTCTCTTCACAATGCCCTTCTCTCCATCAGTGTCATTTGTATGGGCAACTTGAGATGCTCATTTCAACTTTAAGGAAAAGTGTAGATTCTATAGGCCACAGGAGACAGGACTATCCAGATGCAAAACCTCTGTTTAGGACCATTATTGGGTTAATAATCATTTCACACAGCTGTTGATTTGCATGTGATGGCTGTGGTCTTCAGATATTCAACATCCGATGATTTGAAATCACAATCCACCTCAGTGGAGGCCAAAGCGAGGCCTCCAATAAAATAAAAGTTCTCTATCTTAGCCTAAAATTCACTGGTCGCTACTTTCAAGCTAAAGCTGAATTCAGACTAAAAAAGACACGGCTTGTTGGTTTTAAGCTCTTTCTCTAATCACAATCACAGCAGTGTGACAGTTTTCTTCCAAAACAAAAGACTGTGGTGAGGAATGCTAGGGTTCATGTTGTTAAAAAACAAACAAACAAAAAAGAAAAAAACCATCACAGGCATCATTCACATGAACGCAACATTTAGAAGTGCAGGATGCATGAGTTATGCACACTGCCTGTAACCATAATACACACATATGAATGAGGAAAGCGAGTTTAGCCAATTTGTATTTTTAAATAATTGCTTTGTTTACTTTACTTACTGATATCCTCTTTTTGTTGCCAGGTGAGTAAGCTTGACTGAGTCAGCAAATACCAGAAATTTTAAAAGGAAAATTAAAAAGGAGACTTTTAGGCTAAATTATGATACTTTGCTGTGTCTAAATTGTCTGACACTCACACAGGATAAAATAAATGTTTCTGGCATGTGAAGTAATGTCAATATGTACATTTGAAATAAAACATAAAAACCTCAAAATTATATTAAAAAAAAAAAAGTCAAGAGTGGGAAATAAACTACAAAAATATATACATACACATTATATATGCATATATGATGCATATATACACACATAATGCTATACATATATATACGGTCTTTATATATACATTTACATATTACACACCAACGGTCATCTCATTTGTTGTTAGTCATGGTAACAGATGCTCTTTATCGCCCCCCTAGAGGGGTGAAATCTTGTATTTTTTTTCCTTCAGTTTTTCATAACTCTTATATTATTTTTGATTGGACAACTCTACTGAAAGGTTCTTATTTGTGTTGCTGTGTATAGCTGGGTGAGAAAAACGTCACTTGGAAAGGTAGAAAGAGTCGGTACTATCTCACAGGTGGGCAGGTTGCCAGCGGACAGAGGAGGGGTGAATTAAGAGGATTTAGGCTGACACAGTGTGCACCCCTCAGGTCGAGCCCAGCAGATGAGTTGGGATATGGTGGACGGGGGTTGCGGGGAGGAAGTTGGCGGGCAGTGATTGAGTATGGCAGGGAAGAGGCTTGTTTTAGTTCCAGATCCGGAGAAAACTGTCCCAGGAGCCGGTGGCCACGGCCATGCCATCTTCTGTCACTCCTAAACAGCTCACTCTGTTGTCATGGCCCGCTAGCACACCTGGAGGTCGAGGAAAAAAAAAAAAAAGAAAGACTCAGAAGTTCACATTCTAGGATGAAACTTATGCTTGATATTAGAGTTGAATGATTAGTTGAGTCAATTAATTAACTGACGGAAAATAACTGCCAACTACTGTAAGCCTTAATCAATCGATCAATCAATCATTTAAGAAATTTTTCAAGCACGAATGCCAAACATTCCCTAGTTCTAGTTTCTCAAATATGAGAATTTACAGATTGTCTTTGTTTTATGTGACAATCCTCAGGATTTCAGATAGTGTGATGCCTATCTTCATAATTTTCTGATATTTTAAAGACCTAAAATCAACTTGTTAAGAAAGAAAATAGTCATCAGATTAATCAGTAATCAAAGTAGGTTTGTTGCAACCAACTGAAAACAGCTTTTCTCATCCCTGTTTTAGCCAGTTGCTTCCAATGAATTTAAAAAAATGAAGTGAGACATAGTTCAGTTATTAACACAAGCTAAATTCTTCTTTAAGCCAAGAGAGTCTCCTCATATCCGTCACCTAAAAATCTGAAAAACCCATACCAGACTTCAGACATCACTTACCTGCGCGTTCGCCTTTCAGAGTGTCCCACACGTTGCAGTTAAAGTCATCGTAGCCAGCCAGGAGCAGGCGGCCGCTCTTGGAGAAAGCCACAGAAGTGATGCCGCAGATGATGTTGTCATGGCTGTACATCATCAGCTCCTGATCGGCACGCAGGTCAAACAGCCTGCAGGTGGCATCATCTGAGCCTGTGCCAAAGGCATTCCCATTGGGGAAAAACTGCAGGAGGAAAATTTAAATCAAGCAGAGGGAAAGTGTTGTTAAACCATTATATTGTGTTTCTGAGGCACAGGGGTGATTCCTCTGGGGAGATGTTTTCTTTAAAGAGGCTTCTTGGTTTTCCTAGAACCTTACAGTCCATCCAAAGGCCACAAAAGTGTTGCGACTTAGATGGTGACCTGCTTTAAAGGACCACTATGACATATAGAGTAATATTTCCACTAGGGGAATGACAAAGACAATTATATAGCTAAATGAAATACATTAAATGCTGCCACACATCTTCTAATTTAGATTACTACAATAAAAAGATAATAAAGTAATATTAGCACACTAAGCAAACAAAACAAACCTATCAATGAGCCTTCTCACATCAGCTGACATCTATGCACCTAATCAGTCAGAATTCATAAAGTCTTCAACATAAAGTGCAAGTCTTTGAAATGAAAGGTTTCCAGAATATTACCACTGTCAGATGAAAACCTTTAACCCCCTCAACAATATTTTTCAGTTTAGAAAAAACTACCTGGTTTTTTAAATTATGTCATTCATTTAGAAATGCTAATGTTTTGGGATTTATTCTCTGCAATTTAATTTGTGTTAAATTTTTTTGTTATTCTTTATAACTTATTAATGAAATACAATTAGAATTTACACTATACCCTGTTTGTTTTAGTTTTTTAATAAAAGTGGCTGTGCAGAGGAATTATCCATTTTATTTGCAGGCCTCAGTGACCCGTATAGAAAAAAATAAAGGACGAACTGAGAAGTAGTTAGCATGAGTAATGATTGTCTTAGAAGTCTGGGACCCAGAAATGAAAACCAAGTGCAACCAAATATAGAAAAAAAACTGCAACTATATCAGTCCTTCAGCCTCCACCTTTCTGTAGTATGTTTGTGACTTAAAGTCCAGCACTCACGGTGACGGCGTTGATGTCAGACACGTGGCCGGTGAAGGATTGCCTGCACATGCCATCACGGATGTCCCACAGCTTGGAGGTGGCATCACAGGCTCCTGACACGAAGGTCTTGAAGTCAGGGCTCAGAGACAAACTCATCACATCGCCTGTGTGGCCAGTGAAGGAGGTGGCCTGCTGGCCTGTCTCTATGTCCCACAATGCACTGCAAGGAAGCAAGTTTTGGTTTGGAATGAGTAATGAAAGTGTAACCTGACTTATTATGAAGGCACAGCTATGAAGTATACAGCACAGGAGAATTTTGTGTATGAAAGACAATAAGTGCTTTTACACAAGCTGCCACATGAGAGAAAACCCTCACATATTAGCTTATTAGCTGCCATGTGCCTCTACTCCCACATACTAGAAATATAGAGAATGAGGAGTAAGAGGATGGATATTGAAGAGAAACTCCTGACTTTTGTACATAATGTGAAGGAGCATCTTCAGTTTACTGTGTAGCATGGAAACAAGAATATCAATGGAATATTTTCTACCATGTAAACAGCCTAGGTCTTTAAGTCAAGAGAGCACAGTTGTTGGCTCACCAGGTGGTGTCTCCAGAGCTGGTCAGTATCTGGTTGTCATCCAAGAAACGACAGCAGGACAAATAACCTGCAGATAAACAGAGGTTCCATATCAGATAAGGAGAGCTCCCCTCTGCTTTGTCAGTATTCCTTAGGCACTTAACACGTAACCGAGGCCTGTAGTGACTGAATTTTTACGGCTGTGCCAGCAGTGGGTATGGTAAGTAGTTAAGTAGTTTTGTCCACCCAAATAAAGATGAGTTGGGCTTGTATTTTCAAAATATTGGTTCCATATATGTTCACCCAGCATTGTAGCTGCCCAAAAAAAAGCCACACTGGGGTAGAAAAAATTCCCTCCACCTACAAGGATGTGCAGGCTCTAGAGTTGCATTAGCATAGTGGTATAGCTATAGTGAAGAATACAATTTATAGTTTCTCCACAGGCTGGCAAAGTAAGAAAATTCTACCTTCCATTTCTGAAATGGAATTTCTATATTTCACGCTAACACAAAAAAAATTAACTATTCATGCAGATGTTTACACAAGGATACATACTATATATAAGCTGATGCACAGGTATGAGATCCAGTGGAAACTAACAACAGTTTGTCTTTAGTTTTCCATTGTCTCACTTTTTGATCTAATCAGCCAACTTATACATGACATCACCAATCTAAAACGCCAGTAAGGAATATGTGTGTCAAAGGTACAGTATTTGATAAATCAGGCATGATGGAGGGCTGTCCTCAGGTCGTGCTATGATAAAAATGTACAGTCCCTTTAGTTAATTATCAGAGCATTTGTCTCTGTTTACATGGAGCAACAAATTGACATGCTTATCATTCTTTAACGGGTATTACAGAGTGCCTGCATACACAGACTCTATGGAAACAAAGTAGACAAACATAAAAATATTAAAATATAAATAAGCAACATGTCTAGGTTAAGGGTTCTCTTAAGTCTTCTTTTATTTTTCTTATTCTGTGGCCGGCCCTGCACCTACCTGTGTGTCCAGGTAGCTCTCGGGTGACGCGCACATTGCCTTCGCGGGTCTTCAGGCTGTATATGGAGCAGATGTTGTCCAGGCCTCCGCAGGCCACATAGTTCCCAGAGGGGGCGTAGGCGCACGTCATCACCCAGGAAGAGCGCAGTGGAATGGCATGCATCTGAGGTCAAGGAGAATCAGAGACATCTTTTCATTAAATACATTAATGGAAATAATGTTGAGCTTTAAGGCTAATTAAGGTTAAAGGTTATTAGGTTGAGGTCAATTAGTGGGTTTCAATTCAAAATGCTGTGTGGAACTTTTTAAGTCATCAGCTGACAAAATTCTGCCACTTCCTCTGTACATAAAAAAATAAAGGATGCATTATTTCATTTGTCTGGGTGGAATTGTTGCAAAATATGTCAATAACCAATGTGTCACAGATGATGCACAACTTAACATTTAGTGCAAGAAGACAGCACAAGACAGTCTGGGGAGGTCTGTTTCTCCACTTTAGATGTCAAAGCATTGGTATGAGCAGAATCTCCAATTCTCCCTTTAGTTTATTTATAGAGGTTCAGATGGTGTAGTTGCTAAATAAAAAATATAAGGCTAGAGAGAACTGTAGGAACTGATTTTGTTATCAACAGCTACATATTTTGTTTTTAAATAATTATCTCATTATTTCTGGGTGATAAGAAAAATCAGAATTTGCCTAGCAATAAGGCTGAGTGATATTCTTGGTATTCTGGAACCCATGCATTAAACAGACTATTCTCTACATACAGCCAGTAACTTTTGCTATTTTAATTCTGTATTACATAAAGAACATGGTTTTAATACAGCTGTAACTGTACATATTATATATTCTGCTGTTGATTGTCAGTGATCTCACCTTATTTGTTGTGTAGCTGTCCCAAATGATTAGCTTTCCGTCTTGCGAGGCACTGACAAGTAACCTGGAAACAAGTTAAGAAAAGCAGCATGAAAGGAGGCTCACCCGTTGAAAAAACCCACATAATCTAAGGGACATGCACCTGGTTCATTAAAAGCAATGAGAGCCAGCCACCTTACAGACTACTGTGCTACACTGTCTGAATGACCACAAGGTGCTCTGTCAAAAAGCATTCAGCTCTTCAGTGAGCTCCCTACTCCTCTCTCCTAGGGCTCATTTCCCTCCATCTTCCCTCTTTCTCCCTCTCCTGGTGAAAGTCTCCTCGTCCAGGGAAGCCACTTTTAATGTCCCACTCTATGTAATATTCATTATGGCGGTTATATAAAAGTCCCTGCTGTCGGGTGGGAGGTGGAAGCCTGAGGGGTTGGGAAAGCACTGGAAACAAGCTGAGGTGGGGCAGCAAGAAGGGACAGCAAGGAAAGAGAAGACAGAAGAAGATGAATTCTGAACAGGGAGAACAAAGTGAGAGTTGAAGGTGGTACAGATGCAGAAACAGCTGGAACCCTTGCTCCCATCCTGACTGCGTGTTTTTACCTCTCCAGGGACAGGAAGTAGGTTGATGGTGCTACACTACAATCAAGAGGAGGGTCATCAAGCTCAAATGTCAGTTACTGTATACAAAATAAACACTGGTGTCCTGCAGGGTCACCCAGAGGGTGCTAGGCACACACATGAGCACATTCACACCAACACGCTCACACCTAACAGGATGATCTGGATTGAACAGTATATGAAAAATCAGCTACAAGAAACATAACTTAGACAAAAACACAGGCTTTAGTGGCGAAAACTAATTTGCCTAGAAAGGACAGAAGTGTGTGATCTATGTCCTGTGAAAATTCTACCTGCAAAAACTTCCATAGCTACATCATCTTCAAATTTCCTCTTTTTCCTAAAGGATTAGTGCACTGCATGCATACTAAGGGGGAAATACAATATTGACTAATAACTCAGTGCTCATACTTGAAGCAAACCGTTAAAAAGGCAGTTTGTAAGTTTAAATTTAGTGACAACTCATGGTGTGCAGCCACAGATGCTTGCCATGTGGACACAGAGGACTTTTACTCATTGATTTAATTTGAATCATCATAACACTTGGGAAACTGTCAAAGTTTTAGCTCTTACAAACTGCATCTTTAAGAAAATATTACATAAGCTGTGGTGGCTGCCTGTCTCTGTGCCTTGTGAATATCATTACTGTGCTCATAGTGAGGGCGTAAATAGTGATAGCACTTAGACGGATGCACAGTAGTAGTGGAGGTGGCAGTAGTGACAATCATTTATGGTGGTATTAGTCATATTAGTAGAATAATAGTAGTAGTAGTAGTAGTAGTAGTGGTAGTAGTAGTGGTAGTGGTGGTAGCAGTAGAAGTGGTACTAGTAGTAGTATAGCCCCACACCTGGGACTGCCGTCACTGCCCCAGTGCATTGCATTGAGAGACAGATGAACAGAGAGAAAGATCAAGAGTGACACAGACATATTAAACAGAGAGAAAGAAAACACCAATGATACGACACCAGTTGTGAACTCCTAAATCATAACTTGTTGTTCCAGTGTATATTAGCACTAATAGCTGCCGTAACTGCAGTGGTGCTTTACTGCGCAGCTCAGATATTGATAGTCAATTTGTAGTGGTATTACTTAGTATTGGTTCTTGTATATAATAATGTAATTATTAATAATGCAATTAAGGCAAAGACAGAGATTGAGCTAATACCAGACTGTCAAATTTTCACTGTTAAATTCCTGTACTCGGGCTGAGGGTGTGTCCATGTTTAGCTGGAATGAAAACCTGCAGACTGTCCTTGGTGGCACTTTATTGCCCTGGCATACATCTCGACAGTTATAGTTGTAGTGTTAACAGTCGTCATACTGTCACTGGCAGTCTAGGAATTCAACAGTCTGTTAGTCATGCCAGAAATTAAAACTGGATCAGGGGAAAAATGACCGTCATACAATTCTCATACAATTCTTATGAAATCTGAAAAGAAATTGGGCAAATTGTGATGATGATGATGATGATGATTATTATTATTGTACATCTTAATCTATTAGCATTTTTGTGACTCTTGTCCACTGCAGGCCACAGTAGATAATTTATGAGAACTACAATGCAGATATAATTTTGCTTCAGTGTGTTCAGGGATAACTAGAATTACAGTCACAATCTTCCCTTCCTGAGTTACACCATTTAATAATGGCCAAACGTGTTTTTGTAGAACAGTGAAGTTGACCTTTGACCATTTGGATATAAAATGTCATCACTTCATTATATTATTTTATTACACATTTGTGTTGAATTGTGTCATAATTAGCATATGCATTTGTAAGTTATGGCCAAAAACACGTGGAGGCATAAAAAGGAGACTCTTGAATGGACAATTGAGCATGTGACCTAAAGCAGCAGAAAACGCCACGTAGCCAGCAGGTGAAAACAGCAAACCTAAGGACTCCCAAAAATGAGAAAGTTCAATGTTATCTCAAAGTCCAACCCATCTATTATTCAACTAACTTGCTAAATTGCAGAAATGATTCTGAAATTACAACAAAATAAAATAACAAATAAAAACTTTTATATCCTGCTCGAAGCTAATAATTTTGTTGTTTATAGAATAACTACACTACCTTGAGTCACTTCCCCAGTGCATTGCATAGATCTTGGCCAGGTGGCCCCTGAGAGTGCGTCGTGTCCGCATCTGTATCCGGCCCACTGAGTCCAGACCAGCTGTGATCTGCCAAAACACAAGAAGAAGCATCAGCGGCGACACTCGAGGCCCATACACACTTATCACTGGGCACTAGCTGAGACTGCAATAACAGGCCACTCAGAAATGAACAGTGATGAATAATAGTCGAAGTTATACTACTGTATAATGGCTGTAGAATACTAGACATTAGAAATATTTCTAATGTCCATTTTGACCATAGAACTGAACAGACTATAACATAAGTTTACAGGTCAAAGCTTAACTCTGTATAGTGTCTTGCCTTGTGAATATCTGCAACTTCATGTGTCACTTCACTTATGTTATATAGAACTCTCTTTCTTTCTCATGGTTTAGGCCATTTACAGCAACTTTTAAGGTCTTCAGCACTCCCTGTGTTGCTGTCATGCAAACTTGTACAACGGCACAGGAAATAAAACTTTTAATGATTTACTAAGTGATATGAATGTGAAGAGGAAGTCTCTTACCTGTGACAGAGTGGAGTCACTGCAGGCTTTCCTGGCATCCTGCAACAAAACGAAAACCTTAATGATCATGTTGACCAGGGACAAATTTCAGATTATTCATTTAGTGGATAGCTTAACGCCCCACATGATTACTACACAGACATACAAAATGAAGGAAAAAGACTTACTTAAAAAAAGAAATGACAAAAACTGCTTTTAAAAAGTGTCGTAACATGTGCAATAAGTTATTCCCAGTCACAGAAACTGAGTATCTCAGTGATCACAGAATAATCACACAGCAGCGGCTGACATTTATAGATCAATTCCTAGCATCCAATTTCTGCACGAGAATGGAGGTGGCTGATTGACAAGTTATATGCCAAGTGCGTCACTGTCTCATCTGAAACTGTGTGAGTCACAGCTTGCAGTGAACAGACAGTGGCACACATGTGATGTACACACACATATACAACACACACAAACAGACACACGTCAACGTAAACAAACTCAATGCACACAATGTCGCCGTACCCGGATCTGATTGCGTAGTTGCTCGGCTTCCTGCCGCAACTGTTCCAGCTCGCTCATTGTCCCTCTGTGATGTGTTCAGGCCACACTCTGCTCCAAATACTGACTGGGCTGGGAAAACACACGTGCCTACACGCGTGCACACGCACACACACAAACAGACACACACACACACACACACACCCACACACACACACACACACTCACTCACTCACTCACACACTCACTCACACACCCACCCACACGTGCTTTACCAGCTGACACCTGCAAGACAGAGAGACAGAAATACTATAAGTTCAGGAGGCGGACGGAGAATGAAGGATGGGAACACTTCCATCAGACAAACATAGGTATCCTGTTTGGGTTCAAACCAAAGAAGAGGGTGCTGCAAAGAGTGGGGAAGGGTGGGGCTGGGTGGGGGCCTGGAGGGTGGCCTGGCTCTTCAAACACCCCCAGTCTGGTTCAAAAGGCCATCTGAGCTAGGCTCTGACCTTTCCTGACTCAATCAGCCTTTTGTGTTGTTGCACTGCTCTGTTTGCACAAACCAGCCCAAAGAGCCCTGAACATATGTGTGTGTTTGTGGGTTGTGTACTGCTAGCAGAGTGGTTTATTAGACTACATGTCCATGTGAGAAAGAGAGAGATAATGTGCATGTATTTATCTATGAGTGTATAAATTATAAGAGCATTTATTTGAATGCATGTCTGGGCTAAGAGTATCAGATTCAGCATCTGTTTGTATATATGTGTGTGTGTGTGTGTGTGTGTGTGTGTGTGTGTGTGTGTGTGTGTGTGTGTGTGTGTGTGTGTGTGTGTGTGTGTGTGTGTGCGTGTGTGCGTAAGTTGCCACTACCTTTACCTTAGGGAGGCTGAATGTGGGTCACAAAGCACTTAGACACTCCTCAGAAATGTTTGGACCGCACCCCCCTCCCATTTTCCAGGCTGTTTTACAGTCTGCTGTCCAGAAGTCTAACCCTCCGAGATTAAATTTTCAGTTCCATTTTCTATAATTCAACAATTAGGGTGAGTCCAGCCCTTCCTCTCCACAGGAAATCATGTTAATGTAAAGAGGAGGATGCTTGTGCTTTATCTTCATTTTTGCAGAGGCTTTAAAACCACTGGGGCCCAGTTACTTATTCACCACGAAGGAAAATCCTGTCATTTTACAAATAGCAAATAATTAACTAAGACAGTAATGTGATGTTCATGCTGCTAAGATTGCCTCTTAACATACTACGCATTTGTCTGTGTAAAAGGCTGCTCTTTTAGATTCCCGGTTCCCTTGGTTTTGGCCATTGTGCCTCTGCTCCTCAGACACAAGAGAGGATGTATTGAACTGCTCATTGTGGACTCTTGTCTCAGGAGGTCTTCGACAGTAACGAGACATCAGGGACAGCAAGTGTTGCAATGCTTTCAGCTGCCCGGGAGTGACGTCACCCTCTCCTCCAGTTGACGCAACCCCCCTGAAGAGAGGCTCTCAGCATCAGCTTGCCTGTGATGTGGTACTGCTCTTTGACAGCCATGGATCCATTGCACTGTACGCCTCTGAAATCTGCCACGTCACAAAGAGCGCCTTGTGGACTACCAAAACACTTGAAATGACCTTCTATACTCAGCTAAATATTTACAATCGATTTTTTCAGCCCCAGGCTTACGTCGTGAAATGCAACGGCGCACACAAGAGAGATGAGGTGGAAAATAACGCAGGTATGATGGAGGATGATGCTGAAAAACTAGATGCATAAGGGGCTTTCCCATCAGTGTGGATAAAACTGACAGCCCTGATTTTAGGGTGAGACATGACTGCCACATGGATTGTCCTGCTCACATTTGGATACTAAAAATTAGTCACTTAGAAACCAAAGTAGGCCGCTCAAAACTGCTATTGTAATTAACTACAAAGCAACCCCATCCAAAAGAAACTAATACGGATAAATGGTCCCTGCTAAGATTGTCTTTAACAATTCATAGTCATAAACCTCGGTGCCTGTGTGTGTGTGCATGTCTTTTCTCCAGCTGTGTGACTTGAGTCATGCAGCCAGACAGCCAGCCAGGCCAACGCAGGCCCAGAGCAAGGCACAGCATTGGGGGCGACAAAGGCGGAGCTGTGTGCTGGAGCTGCCCATTGTTTAGTATGTGGCTGCCAGCTACAGTATAGTGCTGCTTGGCACCACCACAGTTGTGTCTCTGAGACTGGCCACTGGAGACTACAACTGCTCCTGCTCTGCCCTACTGACGCAAACCAACCAACCAACCAACCAACCAACCAACCAATCAAACCTGATGCTGCCAGCAAGAGACCAATGAGTCTGAAATGGGACCAAACAGCTGTCACCTGCATCAAACTACTGTGTACACATAATTCTCAAACAGACATAGATAGGATCTTAATCACCTGTTTGTATAAGAACATCTGTCTACTCCAGTTTCACTTCATGTCTGTGCTGCATTGGCAAAGTCCGACATGCCAGAGAAGCTTATACATGACCCATTACACATAGCTGTGGTTATCTAAAGCACCCATACTGTCCTTAGTTCAATAATTCATCACTCATATGTGAGGAGTTATAGCACCATCCTCAAACTTAAAATATAATCAGTAATGACTGTTATAGCACTCATCAAAACAGTTTACAAAGTGCTTCATGTTAGACAATAACATATAACTATGACTCAACAGAAGATATTTTTTAAAATTTGCCAGAATAATCATCGTATTGAGCACATATATAAATTTGAAAGGTTTGAAATGTGTATTTGACTGGCAGTTGATTCATTGATTAGTAAATAATAGCAAAGAAAAAATCTAAGCAAAAATTCAAAGCTTCCAGCATGTAAACACGTCAATATCGGTGGGTTTTTCCAACTTTTTTTTTTAAATCGTAAACTGAGTGCTGCTTGACAATTTGAAGATGTCACCTCAGGCTCTAGGAAATAGCAATGGACACTTCAAGTTGTAACACTTCATCTCTAACATATTATAGACCAAACAATTAATGGAATAATAATGTTTAATTGTAACCCGTATCTTCTTTTTGTTTTTGTCTTTTAAAAACAATTTTTATGTAATAAGTTTACACACTGTTTTTACATCTGGTTCAGCTGTCAACATGATATTAGCTGCTGTTGCACATCTACATTATCAAGTTTTAATCCAGGCTAGCGATGACCATAAAACTAATTGTTTATCTTGTGTGAGACATTGGCATGCAAACTTTCACTTTCAGTTTTATACCCACACACAAACGGAGAGAAAGAGAGACATGCAGAGAGATCTCCTTATTCTTCACCTTCTCCACAGTAAAGTCATTGTCAATCTCAATTCACTATGGTCTCAGGTTCACATAATAGAGCTTGGTCATTATATATTTGTGACAGGAGACACTGTCTATTCAGTGTTTGTTCCCACTGATTCAGTTCGTGTTGAGCAGGAAATATACAGTTACATGGCAGTAAGCGCTGCAAGAGAACTTCTTAGGTCCAGGAGCCAATTATAGTGTTTCAATTTGTCAAAACTGGAAGTGGTTCACATCCCGATAAAACATGAATGGAATTATATAACAAATACTCACATATATATTGTATTTTATTTGATCAGTGAGACCTTCTGCTCCCTCTGGGTAACATACAGTAGAAAGTCAGGCACATCTGCCTCAATCATGAACAAATACTGGTGAACAGAGCAGCAGGAGGTGCAGGCAGTGCAGCTGCACCCAGAGCCACAGGGGCCCAACAACATCAAATGGTCAGGAAGTTAAGGAATTAACATTATGAAATGCCAGGTCTGAACAAATTCTTGCAACATGGCCCACTGTGAGTGCTTTATATCATTGTTATGCAGATTTACAGTAAGATTTTAAGATTTATCATCATTATCAAAATCATATTCTATAAGTTGGACATAAGTGTATTTGCTATAATACACACAATGCTACACTCATGCACAGAAAACGAGTAGGAAACTCACAACAGTATTTTGATGTGTTAAAGTGAAAACTGGATGTAGAAAGGGCAGCTCAACCTGGTGTAAACTTGCTCAGGTGACCCACTGACTATTCCAAACATCCAGAGAATGGAGGAAATACCTGGTGAGATTCCAGTAAGGTGAAAGTGTACATATCGTCCTTCTGTTTGGCTGACACATGTACAAATCATATCCTTTTTGTGTCATGAATTGCAACAGCAAATTATTAACTGAAAAAAGGTTGAATCATTATTACACTCATTAAACTGACAGGATCACAGCGAATGAATGTGTGATGACTGTATGACCTACTCTTGTCACAGGTTCTACCCCACCTGCACCAGACACTTACAGAATTACACATAATGTAGTCACACATAATTTCTCATCAAAACTACAAGAACCTAATTAGACTGGGCCTGTTTGGACGAAACTGGATCTAAGTGATATCCATAATCTGATGCCAGATGATCCCCTTACGTGAATGTTCGAGATTTCCTGCTAGTATCTACTAGTTGTTGTGTTGTTGTTACCACAGGTTATTTCAACTGAGGTGTGGTAGGTCTGCTAATGTACAGCTGTACAACTAGGATCTTGAAAATGTAGACCAGGGAGATGTAGTACAGTGTAGTGTTGGGCTACACAGATGAAATCAGCATCATGCTATTAAAAAGAATATTTATTTTATAAATCAATACACACACTGTCGCATTACATTGATAGGTGTTTATATTATTTTGTCCACCCCATTTATATCAATAGGTATACCACCTATTGAGTGGTATGCTGAATAACAGAAATATCTATTTGTGTAATGTAACACAGTTCAACATAAACTACAGTTGAATCAACACATCTCTTTGACAATTTTGACAACAAAAACTGAACAGTATAACTTCCATGAAGGTAAGATTTATTGCAATAAGTTGTGGGTTGTAGGTGTACCTAATAAACTGCCCACTGAGGGTATATCACAATATGGCAAATGTATGTAAAATCACCTAAAAAGATTCCACTTGATATTTAATGCAGTTAACTGCACTTTGGCTCTCATTCTTGCAGTATAGTTCAAAATAACACAATTTTGCAATATGGTCCATGATATGATCCTATCATCACAATATGATTGAGTTGAAAGTCAATAAATTCTAATATTAATACAGTGACGATATTATCACACAGTCTTACAGCACAAAAATATTATAATAAAAGGTTCTTTTTTTTTTAGACATCAGATTATTGTGAAATATTTTAAATGTTGTCTTTTTGTTTTCAATTATCAAAATCGCTGCCAATTAATTTTCTTTCAATCAACTAATTGATTAATCGACTAATCAGTTGAGCTTTACCTGGCTTTACAGGCTGTATCATAGCTAAGTGATAAAACCGTATTTGACTATTCTAAATGAGCAGTGCATTTTATCTGCTTACTCATCCTGATAGGACTGGCACTAACGATTATTTTCATTATTGATTAATTTTTTTAATAGTCGTTTATTCTATGAAACCAGCATCAAAAAAATTGTAGAAATCTTTGCTGAGCTGAAGCTGATGTCTTCAAGAGTTTTGTTTTGCCCGAAAATCCCAAAATACTCATTTTACAATGAATGTTTTGAGAAGCACATTGAAAAAAGACAATTAGTCTACTGTGAAAACTGTTGCACATTACATTTCTGTTGTTTGACTACTCAATAAATCGACTAATGTTTTGGCTCTACATCAAACCCACTTTATTAATATAGATTGTTTTAATCAAATTAAAGGGTGGATGATTCCCCCTTTAATTACATACGTTAACATACGTGATAAACTTTTATAAAATGTAACTACTTACTATATATTCTGTACCAACATCAACCTACTGCCCTCACTTATTTACTGACTGTCAACAACAGACAAGACAGGAAGCAATCAGCTCCATCAGTATGGAGACAGACACACTCTGTATGCAATTAACATGTCATAAAAGTCTTTATGAATTGATGTGAGTCGACAGAAATTTCTCATACAAGCAACAAATTGCATGAGCCGCCGTCACGCAACCAGTTGCCGCTCGAATGAAGGCGGACTGTCCATGTATATTTAATGGAAAAGAAAAAACGGCTATGCGGGGTATCGTGCAACCACAAATGAGAAAACTGGTGTATGAAATGGGACGAGATGAATATGTGTCTACTAGTAAAAAGGTTTTGCCCCTATAGTTCCGCCTGAGAGTCATTTGACAGCCAGTAAAAGGCCGCGTTTGGACGGCAGCAGTGAATTTTCACCAGCTTGGCTTAGAGGAAAAAAACAGCACTGAGGCAATAGTAGATTGTGAACAGTTATGTCAAGAGCTACACTGCTGCTCAGAGCACCGGTAATATTTCAAACTCACTGACATTTCTACATCTCACCTTCAGCGACATAAAACAAAACAAACTCGCTGTGTGCCAAGTAGGAAACAAGTCTAAAAGTCACCAAAAATATCAAGACAAGACTACACGTCCTTACCTGAAACAGGCTTTTTGGCTCTTTTCGTCCTTCCAATACGAGTCACACCGATCCGTTTTCACACGACAACCATGGTCCCAGCTGTGAGAGAAATCCCAAAAGGCTCTGTGTTAATTTTGAGACAATTTAATCGGTTTAAAGGGTCAGAAACGAACGCAACTCGGGTCAGATTTGACTAAAATTTTCACCAAGCAAGCTAATCACCACACCCATGAAAGTGGGAACATGGCAACAGCCTACGCTGAGGGGTGCACGATGGTGAGTAGGTTGATATTCTCTATTTTATAACCAACAAAACAGTTATAAAAACATCAAATTCTTGCTAAATGTATTTTTTATTTAAGTCGGCAGTCTAAAGCACTCGGTAGTAACATTTCGTTCAGCTTGGGAAAATGTATTAAACTGGTTGTTTAACCTACGGGCAGAATGGTATCGTCTGTCAGCCCCCTCAACAAAAAGGAACCGAATGGGATACAGGAAACAAACGCTAGACCTGTACAGTCTGTAGTGGTTGTAGTGATTCAAATGGACCTCACCTCTGTTTGCAAAACCAGATTTAGGTCAAAACTCCACTCTTTCATTTGTTCAAATACCAATACAGTGAATTAACTAGAAGAGCCGTGAAACTACAGTTTTAGTATTAAAGCTGGAGGTGAGGAAAGTGCAGTATTTTTTTGTTTGCTCTATGAATGTAATCTGTTGGCAATTGTGACTAGTTTGTGACTTTATGACCTCATCTGAGTTCATCTGAGGTGTGGTACAGGTTTGTTAACATAAAGCTATACACTTTTCAATTACATTTAATTTAGATTCATAGATTTTGAGGACTACAGTCCAAAGCAACAGTCCAAAACCCAAATTTACAATGATATAAAAGAGAAAAGCAGCAAATCCTCACACTGGAGAATCTGACACTATTCACTTAAACAATTTATCAAAATTTTTGCTGATTCATTTTCTTTTAATCATCTAGCCTAATCGATGAATCAATTTTATATTACCAATTGTGACTTTCCTCTTAAATCTGAGGATTTCTCTGCTATTCTCTGTTTTATATCAGTTTAAATTCAGTATCTGTGGGTTTTGGACTGTTGACAAGTAATTTAAAGACGCCACCTTGGGCACTGTGATGGGAATTTTTCGCTATTTTATGAGATTTTATAGACTAAATGATTATTCCGTAAATTGATCAAATAATCAGAAGGTTAATAAATTAAGAAATTACTTACTAGTTAACAGGCATAATACTTATAATAAATTACCTTATTATGCCAAGTGACATGAAGACAATGGAAATTACCAAAGAAATATTTTTGTTGCTGTTGCAACACTCAGGTTAAATCATTTACTGTGACTAGAATACAGAACAGTAAAGATAAATGCGTAACTACTTCAAAACTACCCAAAATCCAAATTAAAAGGTCTGAAGAGTTTAGATTGTGCCAGGAGACAGCTGTGCCAAGTCTCACCCCGGCACACCACGGTTGGCTCATTGATAAGGATCTCTCTCCATTAGGACAGGATGAATTTTTAATGGGGCCAATGAAAGGGAGCAATGGGATAGGCTTTTCCATATCTCTGCACGAGCCATAATCAATGGAGGGTAGATGAAAGTTGCCGGGCCCTTAGTTTCCTTTCGGAGTGGCATGGGGTCAGATTAAGTCTAACTGAATTCACACACACAGCAGTAGTTTAGGTGTGTCAGACCAATTTCCCCCTAAACAAATTATGAGGATTAGCATTAACATGATAGCAGAGACATACAGTGTGTTGTGATTGGTTTGTCGTTAGTGCTGGGATTCAATTTTTTTTTTGTCTTTTACAATGATCATTATTGCAGCCTGGAAGTAGGCTATTATTAAAAAATAATACATCATTCATACAATATGTGTTATTCATATTTTCATTGACAGTTGTTTTTAAAATGAGAAATAGTCATATTTCTACTGTAATACGATTCACTGGAATTGTTATCATGACAGAATACACTGCATACGACTGAATATTCTCACAATTTAGAGAAATTGGATGACACATGCCAAATCACAACTTCAAATCTGCCCCTGTATCAGAGACAAATAGTCATTACATCCTCACAGTAATCACGACATCTGAAAGGTTTACTGTTTTTGCCATAGCTTGTTTTAAAGATGACATAATCCTGAGGCAGCCAAAGCTTTTTGTCATGTCATGTCCGAAGCTGCTCAACAGATTTATTAATGATTGCTCAAGGTATCATTAAACTGCAATGTAACTACAGTTCAACTCATACACCGTGTTTTAGTAAAGTCAGTTCATTACTGTAATATTTTTAGCTTTTTGTGGACTTGAGATTGATTGAACAGGGAAATTTACAAAGGAACTACATAAGAAGGAGTTTGCTCTCTGCCTCTGGTGAGCAAAATGACTGAATTCATTAGCCAGCTGAGAGAGTCAGGGTGTCCAAAAGCACATCCTTGGCCAATCAGGTCCCTTGGCCCATTGCTTGGCAACCAAAAGGGAGGGAGGGAGAAAATTGACACTGTAAAAATAGCACATCAATAGGCTGGTGTCTGAAAAAAAAGAAAGACACACATGTTGGTGAGGCTATAAATAGCCCCATGGAGCATGGAACAGGTATCATGTACAGTATTTCAACTGTATTGTTGCCCACAAATGAGACATATTATTTGCATGGATGCAAATTCAGCATGGGCAGTGCACAAGTAATGGAACTCAAAGCGCAGTAACAGTCATGCAGCTGAAAGAAATCATTTGAATGTGAGGGTGGTTTAGGGCCAACGAGGAATAACACAGTAAAAACCATCCCGTAACTAACAACAGGTTTGTGCAAGTTTTCCTCATCCTACTGTTTGCCATCTAATGTTTTGCATGTATTCAAAATTACTACAAGGCTCTGCTTCAGTAGTACATTTGAATGTACTACAATAATCAGTAATGTACACGGAGGAGGTTTGCATGCCAGAGGGAATTTAGGGTTTAATGGCACACATGAATAACTTGGAAGATATTTGATCTTTTCATTTTATCACATAATTATATCTGCATTTTGTTTAGAGGCATTACGATGAGCTGCATGTCCTCATTATCTCATCGCTACAATGTGACATTGTTAAAATGGGTGGCACTCGTGTTTCTTTTGTGTAACAGAGGAGTCGAGCAAAAACGTGGCCAAAAATAGACCTATCATGTCCAATTCAGTTTCACAGGACTGCTCAAAAATGAGCTCAATACGTGGGTGATCAAATCAAGTGGAGATAATGGGACATCAATCTGAAGCAGCTTTTCAATGCCTATTTATATCCGCACGTTCCCATTTTTTTGCCCACATGTGGCGACACGCCCTGACGACCTCCATGTAATACTTCCACTGTATCAAAGGCAATTAAAAGGTGTAGCAACAGTAGAACCTTAAAAGGCTTTATCAGGGCCGTCTTATCCACCAGACATCTCCCGGGGAGGCTGGCCGTTGCCAGGGTAACCCTCACAAATGGCAACTGACGTCAAGAAGGTAGGAGAAATACCAGGGAGAGCCAGAGCTGCTATGCATAATGGATTATTGAAAAAAGGGCCCTCTTGAAGAGTGCAAAGTGACTTAAAATATGCGTGCCTTGCTGGGCTTGCTACCACTTCTCTCTCTCTCTCTCTTTCTCTCTCTGTGTGTGATGAGGAAAATAGATGTTGACAGTTTCAGGGTTTTACTTACTGACTGGCACAGCTTGGGCTTGGCTGGCCCAACTGAAATTATCCATCTTGAGTCAAACACTGCTGATGAACTATCTCTCCCTTGGATGCATTTTACCAGATCGGGAAATTCTGCATCATTTTTGTGCTGCTTACAACAGAAGTCCCTTTTTTTCTAAGGTGGAATATGTGCTCCTGCGTGTGGATGTGAACACATTGCAAATACAGTATTCTGTGTATGTGTCCCAAAAGAAAATCTAATGCTAAAATCAGAAAGTGTGGCTGCCTGCACTGTATGTTACCCGATCGAAACCGAAGAAAAAAGATCCCCATCCAGAGCAGATCCTTTATCGGTCACATAACAAGGATCCGCAGTGACATTCATGCATATAGTTCTAAGAAGCGATCACTTCAGGTCATGGTTAAGTCCAGAGCCTAACTACCAGCAGTTTACTCTGTCCCTGTGTCAGGTTCTTGTCTAATCTCAGAGCTATTGTTGGCCCATGAGAGACTGTCACAGCGGCAGCTTGCTGAAGAGCCCTCATCGTTTCTGTGATAATGCCTCTCATGCTGTGTTGGAGTCACACTATCGACAAGCGGGACACCAAGTGTGGAATCAGGTTTGCTGATGGCAAAGGCCAAGTACTGTTGCTTCCCAAATTAATACAGCAGGACAGAACAGTACACGCAATAGAGAATTGACATGGTGTCCATCTTGAGTCAGAGGTGGGACATATGGACAAAAATAATTTCATGATAATTATAACAGCCCATATCTTAATATGAAGACACTACCACATCATTTATTAGACTCATTTCTTTAAAGTCTCAAATTTGTGTTTACATTTTCAAACAGAGTAAAATTGAATAGGATTTATTGTCCAAGGTGGAAAACTGTCTGAGCTCACCAACACTTAAACTCAGCACAAAAACATATAACAGAGCAAAAACTAGTGATAAAATTAATTAACTGATGACAACATCAAAGCAGAGGTCCAAATGTTTTGTGTAAGCAGTAAATGACGTATATTAAAAATTGTCATATCAAAAAATACACATATGTGTATATAGTGAGGGCAGCCTTTAATATCAAAAAGACTAGACTTTTAAGGCAACGTGTTTGTAAAACACAAAATCAAGACATTTCCTGTCAAAACGTGTATTAAAAGCTGCTCTAAATAAAAACACCTGTGACCTGTAAAATGCAATCAGTGTAATTAACACCAGAATGAGTTGGCCTAAAGCTTAAGTTGTGTTTCAGGGAGAAGCTGCAGAGGAAATGTGCAAAGAGAAGAAGTGAGAGTGTTTCAGTCCAGGGGAATCCCAGACACTTCTGTAAATCAGGGGTGCAACAAGCAGCACAAAGCATGAACTAACATGCTCTGAGTTTCCCAAGAAGTGAATCACACAAGTCATGTATGGGAAAAAAAAAAATTAAAGGAAGTGAGGAACAGCCCTGATGTGCTAATGCCACCCTTTTCAAATGTCTCCCATCACAGCTGCAACACTATGATACCAGATGATCATTAATTTATTACCACAAGCCCACAATTATTTTTGACTTGACATTTTGGTGCACCACAGGTTCAGAACATAAGATAAGGCAGAGGTGTTACCTACTCGTTGCATGAAAACCAAACACGACCCTTGATGCCAGGTTTACGGGCTCACCCAAATACCACATTCACCAGTGTTTCCTCTCTTAAATCTGCAAGTGTAACTGAAATGATCATTTTGGCTCCACACCCATCTCTGTTTCGATTCAAGTTATGCTTCTAGTACAGATCTCAGAGCAGAAAACACAATTCTTCTTTTGCTTTGATAAAATATGAATATTCCAAACAGCAGGAATGTGCGTCTTTGTGCTTTTACTAAAATCTAGTTGTTTAATTTCACATTTAGTGATCTTGCTGTGGCTGTACATCACAGGTTAATGAATCTAGAGGAAACACTGAACAACGTGCAAACCAGTTCAGACCAAAAGCTCTACATTTAGAAAAATAATTGACATGTTTCTACCTTTTACCAGTGCAGATGAGTAGCAGAAGAAGTGGGCGTTTTCTGCATACGTCCTAAATGGCATGGATTATGAGTCGTGCAGAGCGCTCTGGTTTCAGTTCTTCCTTTCAGCTGTGAGTGTAGATGCTGCTTGGAGGAGCAGTAAATGGAGAGAGAGAGAGAGAGGCAGAGCTGGAGTATGAGGTAGAGAGCTGCTGAGTGGGAGGGTGAGCATATGGGGGGCATGGAGGATGGGAGGATGGAGTAGTATTTCTATTAAAGAGACAGAGTTTATTTCTTCAACACTGTATTTAAAGATATAACATCAAAAGTGACAGATGTGGTCTGCATATGACAAGCATATGTTCCAGGAGGGTTGTATGGTAAAGCACTACTCCAGTACATGGTTACCTTAAACAAAAGGCGGACACAGCTCTGTAGTCATGAATAATTTGTTTTTCTAACAGGGTTTTCAGGGTCAAGGGGGAGCTGGTCCCTCTCCCAGCATGCAATGGGTGAAGACCCTTACCTCTATTTAACAGCTCAAAACTCAACACTGTTTTATCACCTGCTTCATGACCTTTTTCTAATTTTATGAGAATTACTTACAAACGTGATTTTGAACTGATGACACGTTTCAGAGGTTGGCTATGGAAAATTATTTACTTAAAATGGATTTTACTGTTCTTAATGTGTGACAGGGGCAGGTAGGAAAACTGGCAGTAGATTTCTTTTTCTGTGAACTAATATTTGGCAAACAAAAGGAATGTATATATTTGTTCATGCAAATATAACATAAAAAAACAGAAATAATTCTGCTTTCGGTTGAATAACAATTGTGAATTTTCATCTATATTTTGTTTGTGGCAAAAGGAAGGGTTACCACTTTAAAACCTTACTACACATTGGGTTTTAATGAGGCCACAAGAAAAGAAAATATTTAAAGGGAAAAGAACAGTTGGTTTTGCAATTATTAGTTTCACTTTTGATAATGTTGATCTCACACTTTACATCTGAAACAGTATAAATATTAGGAATTGTGCCAGTCTGCCGAGTGAAATTACTGTACAAAGGACATCTTTAAACACCACTTGTACTGCCAGCTTTATTTTGGAATTACTTTAGTTCCAGGGAAGTGTTGTGAAAATGATTCCAGGAACATGTGATGAGTAACACCATAAACAGTTTCACACATATATTGGAGTCAATTGACTGAAATACTTTTGATTTGCTGTGTATATTTATCATTTTTCACCTCTTTTGCTGATGGTTTGTGTAGATTTATCATTTTTGTGTCTTTTGAACTCTTCAGAAAAGTTATGTCGACAACACAATGTTTATGGTTAGGTGTACAGCCCTCATAATAAATAAATATCTCACACATTTAATCAGATATTGATTCTAAAGGACCAAGGACTAATAAGGATTAATTCAAAGGCATATTTTTACCCTCATCTGTCAATATCGTCACTCTTTGTTTTCCTAAATCAGCAGTGTGTGATATTTGAGTGAGGCTTGAGAAAACAGAGGATCAGCAGATATGATGTTCATGACTGATGAAAGTTTTAGAAACAACTGCTGCTTCTTTTGATTGTAACTATAAAGATGGGAAAGAAAAGGCCGACCAAGTACACGTATCAACAAGAAGCTTTTATTTGTGGTTAGTCTGAAAAGCACATTGTGACCATTTCTTAAAGGGCGCTTTAGATGCAAAGCACAGTATATTAATGCTGTAGTAAAGATGCAAACAACAGTGTTTTAACACTTAACTCCTTTTCAAACAGTCTGTGATGAAATGCTATTTACCATGTCAGAAATACTGTATCTCGCATTCACAAGTGTCTTTCTGTTTATATAAAATCAACCATCTGATTGACCGTCATATTCTAATTTGACATGTTGATAATGTCAACACCACTTTTTTCCCAAAGTAAAGATTTATTTATTATACCGTATAAAGTATCTGCTACAGTCATCTAGCTCTCAAACCCAGTTTCTAAGTGCTTGTAGAAAAGTGCACCCCAACCTTTGAGGAAACAGTATTTGACCTTAAACACAAAACTATTTTCAAACTTCAAATCCAGGATTAGTATCTAAAACCACAACCACATACATAGATTTGATGCATGACTAATGAGACCCATCCAAAAGTATTTCAAATTCTGTTCAAATTAAACTGACCTTTCTGAATTCAAAAATGCAAAAACAAATGTCTTGCATTATTAAGCAACACTCTGCCACTTGAAAACATGTAGTGTTGTCCTTTTGGGCTCATCGAAGCTTAATTAAACAACTTCAAGGCTTCACTCAAACTTGATTCCCTGGGCAAGAGGAAGATCCTTGCTGTAGTTTATTGTGCACGTTGAACGCCTCATATACTGCTTCCATGAGTCACTGCCAGACTCTCTTCCACCTCCAGTGTGTTTCTCCCCACCAAAGGCTCCTCCGATCTCAGCTCCGCTGGTAGGAATGTTGACATTCACGATGCCGCAGTCGGATCCTTTGGGTCCCAGCCAGCGGAAAACCCGGCCCATATCTTTGGTGAAGATGCTGCTGGACAGACCCTGCTTGACCTCGTTGTTCCACGCAAATGCCTCCTCTTCTGTCTTGAACTTGAGGACATAGAGGATGGGGACAAAGGTTTCTGTATGGACGATGGGAGCGTCGTGAGCCAGCCCTGTGATGATGGTGGGCTCCACGTAGTTTCCAGGACGGTCCATCACCTTTCCTCCACAGACCAGAGTGCCGCCCTGTTTCTTGGCCTGCTCAATAGCTGCCAGGTACTGATCCACCGCTTGTTTGGTGTGCAGAGGCCCATACAGGGTGCTGGGATCCCAGGGGTCTCCGATGCGGACTTGTTTGTAGGCTTTGGTAATCCTCTCGACCACTGTGTCGTGAACGCTCTCATGCAGCATCAGCCTCCTGGTTGTGGTGCAGCGCTGGCCAGCGGTTCCCACGGATGCGAAGACAGCAGAGGGCACCACAAGATTTAGGTCAGCGTCCTCAAACACAATGATAGCATTGTTTCCGCCGAGCTCCAGCAGTTTGCGACCAAACCTTTCCTGCACCATCATGGCCACCATCTTGCCAACATGGGTGCTGCCAGTGAACGACAGCAGATCCACACGCTCATCCTTCGCCATGGCGGTGCCGATATCAGCGCCTCCGCAGGTCATGGAGCAGATTGCGCCGGGCAGGTTGTTCTGCTCCAGCACCTCAGCCACAATCTTGGTAACTGCAACACTCGTGAGAGGTGTGGTTGGAGCTCCTTTCCAGAGGCAGACGTTGCCACAGGTCAGAGCGATGGCATTGTTCCAGCCGTACACAGCCACAGGGAAGTTAAAGGCAGTGATGATGCCGACCAGACCGACTGGGTTCCACTGTTCGATCAGAGCATGGCCTGGTCTTTCTGAAGGCAAGATGGGCCCACCGATCATTCTCGACAGACCAACAGCATAATCACAGACATCAACGTATTCCTGAACCTCGCCCACTCCCTCAACATAGATCTTGCCCATTTCTAGGGACACCAGGCTCCCGAGGACTTTGATCTTCTTTCTTAGAGCATCACCAATCTGCCTCACAATCTCCCCTCTTTTTGGAGCTGGAATATCTGCCCACATCTTCCAAGCCTCCCTCGTCTTCTGGACAGTTTCTTCATACTCTGCCATTGTTGCCTGGGTAACTCTGGCGATCGGCTCATTGTTGGCGGGGCAGTAAGACGTGATGACCTCCCCGCTGCCTCCCCAGCTCCCGTTGTAAACACCAGGGTTGTCCTCAGACAGGCCTAGCTCTTTCAGCCAGGAGTATTTCGGCTGGTTGATGAGGAGACCTGACATGGCTGCTGACTGCTGGCAGTGGACAGATGCAAATTTATTTCTCAAGACGAGCCTGCTGTGCCGTGCAAGAGTCAGAGTGAGGCAGCGCTGCATGGCTGCTGGAAGCAAACAAAGTTAAAAATTAAAAAAAGTTAAAAATTAATTAAAGTTTAAAAGACGTAGAGAACATTTATAAATAACTGTTGACAGAACAATCTCTGCACAAGGTTCAGATGAGATTGTTTTGTCTCAGGCTGCATCTGACAATTATTTTCATATTGGAAAACAGCAAATTATCACATTTGAATCAGAAAATGATTAAAATGTAATCAAAATGATATCCTATCAATATATATATTATGTCAATCAACTATTACACAACTAATCATTTCCACTCTAGTATCAACAGCTGTTTCCAAGGTCAAAAATGACCTTTCAATTTCAAAATTAATAAATAACTTTAAAGTTGCGTCAGCTGTGTAAAACTCCACTGCGGGAGAGAGAGCACATGCACTAAAAGGAATGAGAGCAGTCGACAGGTGTTGGCCAGAGACAGCTAGTATAAAAATAGTTAGTGTTTTGTTATAACATCTTCTCTCAGAATGCATGCAACATGCGTTTTAAGACATTCTTGATAAAACTGAAACTATTAGTCAATTAATCAATTAGTTCATTGACACAAGTTTAATCTGCAACTATTTTGATAATCATTTAATCACATTTTATTAAGACAAAAAAGTAAAAAAATAAAAAATAAAAAATAAAATCAATAAATCACTGAATGCGTGAGAATATTTGATGTTTTTCTTGGTTTTCCTACATTAAGAAACTGAGTTTTGGATAGGTCAAACAAAATTTAAAAAAAAAAGCAGTTTGAAGAGGTCACCTTGGGAAATGTAGTTTCCCCTTAACTCTGACATTTAACAGACCAATTGTGAAAATTCTGATTAACTGATAAAGAAATGGTCTGTTCTGGTTATAGTCCAATGCTGGATGTAGTAAACAAGTTACAGGAAATAAAAACATTCAATGTATACCGAAAAGGTAATAAGATAAAAAAAAAAGAGCTTTATATAATGCCTTCTCAATGAATTAACATATGAATTTGAGAATAAGATTATCTCATATTAATGTTATATAAAATCTACAGCTGTCTGCATAGGTTTTAGTTCCAAATTCATTCTTCAGCATAACAATGACACCAAACACACAGCCAGAGCCATAAAGAACTATCTTCAGAGACTAGAAGAACATGGAGTCCTGCAACAGATGGTCTGGCCCCCACAGAGACCTGATCTCAACATCATGGAGTCAGCCTGGGATTACATGAAGAGACAGAAGACACTGAGACAGCTTGAATCCACTGAAGAACTGTGGCAAGTTCTCCAAGATACTTGAAACAACCCTCCTAATGAGTACCTTGAAAAACTGTGTGTAAGTGTACATGTTTACTGCAATATTTTTGCAACCATCTTCACTTTTGGTGAATAAAACTTTTGCACAGTACTGTAAACATAGCAGACACCCAATAAAACGGACGTCACTAGTTAAACACTATGTATTACAGATCGTAAACTGGCTCTAACTCAGTTTTGGAATTGCTAGCATTTTATTTCTATTTCATTTTCATTTCATAGGTTATATAACCATGGTCCATTCTTTAACTATTTGGCCTACAGGTTACTCGACCATATGCGCTTGCGCATGAATCCAACTTTGGACCACCACGAGGCTGTAAAACATTACATCTGACAGACAAGTAGTACAATTAACACCGACAATGTCAGTGAATATATACCTTTAGACTAATTCTGAACTTGCATTTGTTAAATCCCACATCCTGTATGTCATTGTGTGAGTGCAACAACTTTTTGCAACATGAAGTGACATGGTCGCCGAGATCAGCTTCTAAACGACCGTGACTCAAGGTCCTGCAGTTTACACCCACTAACATCAGCGTGCAGTTGTGAAACTTGCACTTACACTACTTGCTTGTCTGCTTTTAAATGATCTAAATTGACTTTCTGTCTCTTGTGAGCAGTTTTTAACTCACGTTGATGTCAATTCCAGTGGGCCACGTCCGCTCCTCAGCATGGAAGAACTCGATGTGTACTCACAGCTCAAACGGAAGTACTACCTCTGTGCTGCGCCTTGATTGGACAGCGGCCTCGACGCAGTGTGGCGCCTGCTTTGCTAAACTGATCTATGCTAACTGAGCGCCTTTGTTGTGATTAACCGTTCAGCGGCTGTTTTTCTGCTGTAATCACTCATACAGACAAAGTTGCTGCTGTGATAATTTAGAGGATGAGTGGCGGAGTGTATGGAGGCGGTGAGTGAGATCTTATCATTAAAATAAACCCAAACTCTTGTCCACGTTGTCCCGTTCTGTAGCTTTAGCCAGCTTTGTGGTTAGCTAGCTACGCTAGCTGTACCAACGTTTAGCTCCACGGTAAAATATTTAAAATTGCATTGTGTGCATCACCACTATGCGTTTCAGAATATGTGAATTTATTATCGCTTTAAGTGCGTCGTCTTGTGGCTTGAGCTTAGTTAGTTTGTGTAAACTCATATTAATCAACCTCCGTGCCGCTAGCTAGCTAAGTTAGCAAGGAAATGAATGAAAGTGGGCTTGCCGATACAGCTTTCTTAGAAGTCGAGATACAGTAATTTACCTTTAAAGATGGATCGTCATATTTAACGATACGTTTGCTACATCTTTACCTTCTGTTAACTTTAACTTCCCCAAGAGTACTATTAAGTGGATGTGCTGCAATTAAATACATACAATTCACGCTGTTGTAAATGGCAGTGATAACTACCCTAGCATTCAAATTTACATTAATGTCATAAATTTAGCAGTGGCACACCAGGTGAATTATATTGTGACATACAGTACTCGGGTCGTAGTGCTGTAGAGGATACTGCAAGTCTGATCTGACAGAGCGACCCGTGTGGTGAACTGGTCTCTCCAGTAAACATTTAGTTCATACAGCATCTTTCTTGAAATGTTAGGCTATCTGGTTGTGGTTGGCAGCTTTTCACCACATACTTATTTACTGCAGATGCTCAAGGAATATGTTAGTTACATAAAGGGAATTTAAAGTAGGAATCTGTAGCCCCAGAATATTCCTAATGCTTAACAATATGTTTTTTTACTGTGTCAAAATAATAATATATTCATTATATTTTGATCAATTGATATGTTAATTTAATATATTAATTTCTCTGGAACAGTGTTTTCATGCTCAGTGAATCCACTTTGTATAACCAACTTAGAAAAGTACTCTTGCAAAAAAAAAAAACAACAACAACCAGACAATAACAGTATAGTTCTCTACAACTAGTATCTGCTGATAAATGTACATGATGAAGATTTTTAGTGTTGTTTAGATGTAAATGTGTCAGGTTTATGGTCTGTGTGTTGGTGTTAATGGTGGGAATGCAAATATTTTTAGGTGGTTGGGGGAAAGTTTGAGAAAAAAAAGGATTGGTTGAGCACCAACTCTCATTGGAACTTATGGAAAGTATACGAGAAAAAATAAAGAGTGATTAGTCGTTTTAGAGACCTAACTTTAACTCTTTAAAAATATGCATTTGTTGAGAAAGCAAACTACTGAGCTTTCTCTAGGGGGTATTGGTTGATATAGGACACATATGAGCCAACACACTAAATGCAGATATAACTGATGTAAATGAAGAACTGTTAACAATAATATGCTGATATACTGTAGATCATTGCACAGTTTAAATCATATTCATTGCACTTCTCTCATTTCTGCAGATGAGGTGGGAGCTTTGGTGTTCGACATTGGCTCTTATTCTGTGAGAGCTGGCTACGCAGGAGAAGACTGTCCCAAGGTAAGTGGATCACTCAAATGGCCTGATTAACTATGTGTCTTTTCTTCCTCTGAGCATCTTAATCTTCTTCTCTGGGGGTACAGCAATGTCAAGAAATGAGGGCTGTCACCCTGGAGACAGACGGCATAAATTGAGTTCAGATCATTCTAGAGTACTTGCTTGGTTTTGGTGTATCTGTGCTTTAGGTGGAGATCTTGCATGTGTAAATATCTGTATCGTTTGTAATTGATGAGACAAGTGTCAGAGATGGATGCTCATTGGCCCTTTGTAGACTACTCTCATTGCCTATGTAATAATTATTTTAGGCAAATGCTACAGTATTAAAAATGAATTAATCTGCTGCTTTGTATGACTGCCCAGTTTTGTGCACACAGAAGCTATAAGACCATGTCATGGTAATCATGTTATTTAAGGTGTGGCAGTTGAAATCAATATCACAATATTAATAAAAGTATTTGTTTCAGTATCGATGTGGCAAGTTTGCAACACAATAATTGTCGTGTCGATGTTTAATCCCATGCATATTGGTATTGAACATCCCTTGACCTCATGGCTTGGTGTTTGCTTTGATTTGCATTGTCCGCTGTGAGACCTAATATAGATGGGTGTGTGTCTTTCCAATCAGCTGAATTGACCATAGGTGGGCTCCAATCAAGGTGTAGATAGATCTCAAAGATGATCAAGAGACACATTCTGAATCTTTTACACTTTTTTTTTTTTTTGTTATTTTGTTGCTTTATTTATCGGTTGTAGTCAGACAATGCACCTTGTTTGTAGTATGGTTGTATGTGGGGTACTGTATTAGCTCACCATCTTTCCTCATCTCACCTCCTTCCGTCCAGCTGATCTGAACATGTAATTGTCATGGTATGATTCCTCCAAAAGCTGATACACAATTCAACCACATAATGTTATAATTTTCTCGGATAAAATGTCGGACTGTGATTGCTAATGTTTCCCTCTGTTTTTTTTTTTTTTTTATAGAAATCAGGTACTTTTTAGTATTTCCAAACAGTTGCATTCTTTGTCCTCATAAGTCAGAGGAGCATTGCTTCACATTTCTACACCTTTCACAAAAGTGGGAATTTATTCATTCATAGTTAGGGATGTGGGTGAACTTGTAATTGGTTTTGTCCAATTTGTGCTCATACATCAATATCGGGAATCTGATATTGGTAAAACAGGGCATGTGAGAATGTATCTGACCTGCATTGTGTGCTGGCTCGGCTCAGGCGGACTTCCCCACGGTGATAGGTGTGACCCTCGACCGAGAAGATGGCAGCACGCCCATGGAGACGGATGGTGACAAGGGCAAGCAGAGTGGCACCACCTACTACATTGATACCAACCAGCTGAGGGTACCCAGAGAGAACATGGAGGTCATGTCTCCCCTCAAGAATGGCATGAGTGAGTGTTCAGTGATGTGTATTTTTATCACTAATTGAAATCCAAAGACAATTTCTTTGCTGCCATGTCCTCGGTTGTGGTAAATGAGTGGACAGAACTTGTTTTTTTCTCAAATACAATAGACTTCTATTTTTTTCTATTTATATGCAGTGCTGAGAAAGGGTTCATATTTTTGGATTTTATTAATGAATATGAACATACATGGCTTGTTAGTAAGTGTATGACCCTGCTTCTTGTCATGGTCTGTGACGTAAACTCAGCTATGAATATTTATAATCTCTTCTGCTTGATCCATATCCATAATTAGACTGTTTAGGTCTCACAACCGATTTTGTAGATGAACTCATCACAACCCTGACTGACACATAATTGACTGCTGCTCATCATGAATATTAATGAGATTATTTGAAGACCAAGGCAACTCATTATCATGAGCTCTCCCATCTAGTGGCCTCTTGATAGAAAACAAGCCCCTTTCCATCTTGGGTTTAGTGCCATGTCTGGCTGCCAGTGTTCATATTTTCCTTTCCTAATTTGTACTTGTCTAAACCGTGGATGTGTTGCCAGATGTGGGTCACATGTTCAGAGCTGTCCTTGGTACTGAAGAGTTGGACTCTCTCTCTAAGCAGAGCTGTCATCCTAAAAAAAACAGTTACTCTAGTCTGGTCTGAAGTTAATTTATTTTGAACAAGCTCATCCATTCATTGCAGTCTGAAATTTCCTGATTTGTTTTTCATTTTCTTGTCTTTTTTCTCAGCTAAATCAGTCTGTGTTTCTCAATTTGACAATACTAGGGCTGCGGTTATTTACATTACTGATGACAACTTTTCTTCGAATTAATCAATTATTCATTTTGGGAAAAAAAAAAAATAAAAAATTGTGAAGAATGTCCATAACGGTTTGTCCAACAGTCCACAATTCAAATAATTTCCGTGATTTGCAAATCCTCACATTAGTGAAACTGGCACTAGTGAATGTTTGGCATTTTTCTTTGATAAATTACATTAATCAGTTTTCGAAGTTGTTGTGTAGAGTTGAAATGATCAATTAATTAATCAAGTAATGGATCAACGGGAAATTATTCTGCACCTATTTTTGATAATCGATTAACTGTTTTGATCTTTCAAAAAAAAAAATCTGAATATTCACTAGTTTGTGCTCATCCACTGGGATGATTTGCAACAATGACAAATGTTCAATTTTGCAGGTGTGTTTAATTTCTGTCACCTCAGAACTATCAGCGACAGCAGATGTGCAACAAGCGCTCCGGTGCCCTGACCTAGCTGATGATGCTCATCAGAATCTGGTCCAGTGGAGTTTGGTTGTGAGGCTATTTAGAGACTAATGTGACACCAATCTTAATTGCAGCAGAACAGCACCATGGGACCACAGGCTCCCTTAGAGTCTGACCTGGAACACTGGTGCCTGGTGCACAAATTATTATCTGTAAAAGCTCATCATCGCTCTATTTTCTCCACCATCTGACCCAGTGAAGATGATGATGAAAGATACGCGTTTTTTGTGACGCTGAGTTTTTTTGTAGCCCTTTAACTACGAATAAAGTAAATGGATATGTATGTAGCTGCTATGTGCTCAAGGTTCAGTGTGTCTTTTAACTTATTTGTGCACAGGAATTGCAGCAACTTTCCACATGTGAAGAAAATAGAAGTGCATTGATCATTTAGTCACAGAAAATCAATGGGCAATTATTTTTGATAATTGATTAATTGCTCTTATTTTTCTAGCAAAAATGACAAATATTCACTGATTCTATCTTCTTGTTGCTTTAAAATAAGCCATTTGAATAAGTCTCCTTAAATTATATGAAATTCTAATAAACGTTTTTCACTATTTTCTGACATGTTATAGACAAAATGATTAATGATCGTCAGAATCATTAATTATTAGCAGATTAATCAATAATAAAGATAATCTGTGGCTGCAGCCCTGGAAGAATATTTTATGTAGGTGTCATCACCGGTTACCAAAACTACACGTGGAATCTGACAAACTCTGGGTATCTCATGTTTGTTCTCTCCTCTGTTTTGGTCATAAAAAAACAACTCAGCAGTAATTTCACAGTTGTTTCTGCTCTGTTTACAGTTGAAGACTGGGACAGTTTCCAGGCCATTTTGGATCACACCTACAAGATGCACTTCAAGTCTGAACCCAGTCTGCATCCAGTGCTCATGTCAGAAGCATCAGTGAGTTAGCTTTTGTTCATTGTACAAAGGTCATGTTCATACAGTTTGAATTTGAATATCAGATTGTCTAAAGGTTAGTATTTAAAGTCTGATCCTCCTTTAGTTAAATACTAACAGTAGCTGGTGATCTTTGTGTGGCGAGAGGAGGATTAGAAAGTCCACTCGCCCCATTTCGAGAAATGTATTCATTTATGTTGTGCTGACAATGATATTTTGTGAGTGGCTTAACTTCTGTTCTGTGTCTGCAGTGGAACACAAGAGCGAAACGAGAGAAATTAACAGAGCTGATGTTTGAGCATTACAACATTCCTGCCTTCTTCCTCTGCAAATCAGCTGTGCTGTCTGCGTATCCTTCACTGTCTCACGTCATCCAGAAAAGAATGATATGAGTTTGTTGAACTAATACTGGATCTGTTGCATGTTGAACCATATTACATTTCCTTTACTCTGAGTTTCGCAGCTTTGCAAATGGGCGGTCTACAGGCTTGGTCCTGGACAGCGGAGCCACACACACCACAGCCATTCCAGTACATGATGGCTACGTCCTGCAGCAAGGTAAAACATGAAGATAAATCATGCGTTGGTGAATAAGTTCTGGTCTACTTACAGGTTTTACTTAGATAATACGTAAATAAGGGAGGGAATACAACACTTAAAGAGGATGAATAGTCTTGCATCCTCCATTGATGCAGGTGCCTCTTTCCTAGTGTTTATGTTGCCCCCTGCTGGTTTGAGTGAGCATTATCAAGCCAGCTGTGACTAGAAATCTTCAGTTTTTACAAGCCCCTATTACCATTATTGGACAAGTGGGCTTCTTGTAAAGCGGCCAGGATGTAGAGCAGCAGTATAATGCTTTCTTATACAAAGCTCTTTGAGTTAGAGCTGCAACGAAACAAAAAGAGGGGAGTGATTTAGGAGTTTGCTAATCTGAAGAACTGTGAGTCATTAAAGGCATTATTATGGTCATTGTGATGCATCAAGCTTAGCAAGTTCAAACAGGGTGTCAAGTTACTGTATTATAAGTAAACATGAAAGAGATTTACTGTGTTCCTTTGAGTCTGAGTCATGATGTTATTCATTCTCTCTGACAGGCATCGTCAAGTCGCCCCTGGCCGGAGACTTCATGAGCATGCAGTGTAGGGAGCTGTTCCAAGAGTTAAATGTTGAAATAATCCCTCCTTATATGATTGCATCGAAGGTAAGATCTGCTGAAATCCCCATTTTAGTGTATAGAGGTGGAATTATATATTTTTTTGGTGGGAAGCTGATTATTAGTAATATTTGCCACATCACACTCAATTTTAAAAGTAATCTTTGACAAACAATAGCTGCAAATAAATGTTAGCCTTAATTTCAACCTATTTGGTGTGCAGGACAGGTGTAGATGGTGTCAGGCAACTTTTCGTTGCATTCCCTGTTTTTATTTTATTGCCCGAAAATTAGATATCTGGCTGATGAAATAAATACAATCAGAGAATCATACAGCAAATACAATCTGAATTAAAAGTATGTACACAATCTGCATCAGGCTTTAATGTCATTATCCTTCAGAACAGCCGGTGTCAACCACAATGTGTTTTACCATTACAGGACGGAGTGCGGGAGGGAGCCCAAGCCAGCTGGAAGAAAAAGGAGAAACTACCTCAAGTCACCCGCTCATGGCACAACTACATGTGTAATGTAAGCACTGAACTCTTCTATGACTGCATTCCATATCATCAACTGATTAGTGTTGAGCTTGCGGTAGCAAGTGAGTTCTTTTTGTTGGTACATATTTTATTTTGATGAATCTGTGTCAACTAGTTTGTCGTACCATTTGCAGTGTGTGATCCAGGACTTCCAGGCATCTGTGCTGCAGGTGTCAGACTCTCCATATGATGAACAGTAAGAGAGTTATTTGCAATTTAATATGAATGTTTCCATTACATAGATGTTTCTACCTTCGTTCGATAGTTGCCCGCTAAGTCTAGCCTTTTTCGGCGCAACGAAAGAACTGGTGCAGTTTGCAGTCCCAAAATGTGAAAGTATTGGAGCCATAGTTTCCCACACACCAATACTTGTTCACATGGTTGTCAGTCTGTGCAGAAGATAAGGGAGCATGAAGTTCATTTAAACATAAATATGTGTGGGTGTTTTATCAGAGTCATGGTTTATTTTGCAGGAATGCCCAGCTTCATGTACCATGCCACTCTCAACTTCTGTAGCTTTCATGCTAAAAAGCAATAATCTTATGAAACGTTTAAAGGTTAGGTTAAGCCTAAAAGAACTGACTCACAGGTAACCTTCCCTCTCTTGTAACAGGGTGGCTGCACAGATGCCCACAGTGCACTATGAGCTGCCCAACGGCTACAACTGTGACTTTGGGGCAGAGAGACTGAAGATCCCTGAGGGGTTGTTTGACCCCTCTAATGCCAAGGTATGTACTCGCCCAGCCCGTGCCATTAGCCCAAGTTTGTTTAATAGTGGAGCTAACAGAGCGGCCACAACCATAATGTCTAATCATCACTGAATATCGCTCCAAATGAAGACAGCCTGTGGTGTTATGAAAAGTTGATGAATGTGTGGTTTTCTAATGATTTATGAATCAGTTGTTTATAGGGTGTACTTTATTTTTTCTGTTTGTTCTCATCACTTCAGGGCCTGTCTGGAAACACCATGTTAGGAGTTGGCCATGTGGTGACGACCAGCGTGGGAATGTGTGACATCGACATCCGGCCGGTGAATATTAAGATGTTTTCATTTTTATGGTGGCTAAAATGTGTTTATTGTTTTTTTAGATTTTCATCTCTTTGTTTTAGCTAGTAGCTGAATGTTACATGCCTTCTTTGGGGAGTGTTGACAACAAATCACTATATAAGGTGTTTGTACACAGGGCTTATAGAGGCAAAGTGGGTAACCCCAAAATGTAAAATATCAACTTTTGGTAATCTTATGACTCCAGGAGTGCTCGCATTTGTCAGTTTGACGATGTTAGGATATCAGAGGGTGTTTCATAGCCTGAAGAGAGCCAGTCAGTGTGTCGGTGTGTTGCGCTTCATATTTACTTTTCAATTTGGAAATTTCAGCACTGATTTAAAAACAAACTCTCATTTGCTGTGTTTTAGGGTTTGTATGGCAGTGTGGTGGTGACTGGAGGAAACACGCTCATTCAGGGCTTCACCGACCGACTGAACAGAGAACTCTCCCAGAAAACCCCTCCGGTGAGTTAATACCACTACTTCTCAATATATTCTGATTAATATTATTATCTTAATTTTTAATTAATATAACACTGAAAATTCAAAATGCTGTCCTGTTTTATTATCGTATCCTCTTAAAAGGGACACTGCAGTTCTGTGGGAAATTCATTTATGAGTAATTATTTAAAGACGTCAGTGAACATTATGTCCTGCCAGAGTTGAACGTGTTTGTCTGTGGATTGCAGAGCATGAGGCTGAAGCTGATAGCGAACAACACTACAGTGGAGCGCCGGTTCAGTGCCTGGATAGGAGGCTCCATCCTGGCGTCACTCGTAAGGACACATAGCAGATTAAACCGTATTATAAGAATGTATCAACATTTAAAATTTTTATGACAGTAGCTGTTGAAAGAAAGGAAACTTTTTCTCACACACTGATGGGATTTAAAACAAGAACTCCAGAGCTGGTGACTTGTCTCTTAGACCATCAGGCTACCACTGGCTAATATTTCTAACATGGGAAAAAGGTGCCTGGACAGGAGCGTCTGGCATTCATACCCCAAGATTTAATGGGAAATTTTCTATTTTATCTTTTTGGAAAATGACATAGATTCCTCTTTTCAGTGAGAAAAAAACTGCTTTTTTGTAGACTTAAAGAAAAGTTGTGATATTCTTCTGATGTTATATGTTTAGTTATATTTAAAACACTTTGTTTTACTTTTGGCCTCAGTTACATGTAATTCGATAAAAGTGGTGGCAAAATGTGTGAGAGCTGTGTTCACACAATCACTTTTCTTGACAGCTTTGTCTTTAGTTATGTACATGATTTACAAACCAATTATATTCCTGCCTCTGTAATTTTCGTTCTGTAAGCAATTTTATTGCAATGAAGATTTGTTCAAACAAAACCATATTTTGTCGGTCTGCCAGGGAACTTTCCAGCAGATGTGGATCTCCAAACAGGAGTACGAGGAGGGAGGAAAGCAGTGTGTGGACAGGAAGTGCCCTTGATTTGATACCAAACCTTTCTCCCTCGTCACTGTCTTCACCTCAAGCTTCACCTCTGACCCCAGACTCAGGAACACCTATGGAAAATCGCTTGTTTTGTATTTGTTTTTAATACCGAGTTTGTCCATATGCCTGTCTGGGATTTATTATAGAAATCAGACATAAACTTCTACAACATAAACTGTGTCACTATGAAGAAATCGATTTAAGTTCCATTGTTTATGTCATAACAGTTGGTCTGTTGCCTTATGTTTAGATAGTTTTGTGGAAACCTTGCAACTTAAGAAAGTCAGTTTTTTTTTTAATAAGCATGTACTGTAGGTCCTGAGGTCAAATCACACTGGGGAAAACACACCATAATAAACACAAAATTTGTTGTGCAAGGTTTCTACAGAACACTGACATGGTAAACATTGTGTTTTTAGAGGAACATACTTACAGTTTGAGGTGAATGTCTTTTGTTAATAAGCCTTTTTTTCTGTGTAGTAAGTAAACTCATCATAGGCCAGTCAGTTTGTGCCTGTGCTTATCAGTGTGAGAGTGTCAACTCAAATAAATCTGTATTTAATTTTCACTTTTGCTCATCATTGGCTACGTACGGTCTTTTAAAAATAAAGTCCTTTTTTGTTAAATGATTTCTTAAGTGAGTTTGTGATAAAATTGTAAAAGCTTACTTTTACAGTACTATGTGTATATTTGTACAGAAGCAGGGTGTATGGTTGATATTGGTTGTTTTAGAGGTTATTCAGGGTCACATGATTCCCAAACCTTAACTATTAACCTTTTTGACACAAAATATTCTGAAAAAAAAAAAAAAATTCAATATTAGAGGTATGTTTTAATAACAAGTATGAATACAGTGACAACAACATCAGGGTAAAGTAGCATAATTTATCTTGTAGGATCAAATAACAGCTGGACCAATAAATCTTTACTCTGCACAGAGAACAGTTTCAGAAAACCTGCAGTTATTTTAATTGACCTGTATTAACTTGTCAACTAAAATGTGGAGAGTGGACAGATGTGAGGATCACAGCTGTCAAAAATTCAATATCTGCACAATGGGAGACCGAAATTTCATGATGAGGAAACTTTCATTTGAGGAAACTTGTCCATTAGTTTGGCCTGTGTGTTCTCCTTTAAGTTTGCTTTCCTGGCCTTATCTCGAAGGTGCTTCTCTATACGCAGCCTGCAAGACAAAAAAACAAAAATCATATATATCATGAAATTTTATGTGATATAACTCAGGGATTCTCCATACACTACAACTCGTATTTAAAAGTGAATCTGTGCCGTACTGTATCTTACCTTATGTGTGGTTGGACAAACTTGGGTGTGAAGAACCTCTTTCGTTTGTATCTTTTATTCATGTACCAAGGAATTGCATACTCTTTGAATCGATACCTGGGGGGGAAAAAAAGAAAAAAAGAAAAACAGAAAAAAGAAGTCTTATGTGAATGATTCCACTAGCCACATTTCATTTTTTGAAGTCTGGCCATTTAAAAAGATACTACATTTAGATTATAAACCACCTGCTGAAGGTCTTAAAATCAGATTGGCCTACGCTGATGTAGTATATGTGAATCAGACCTCGATTCATACATTTGCAAACAGTATTTTTCCAATATAATTCTCAGACTCAAAAAAAAAAAAAAGTCTGGGCCAAAGTATGTTTGCTTATCTGAATTCACAAGATGTAAAAACGTCAAGGTCTACTCAGACCTTGATTGAATGATTGAATTAAAAGGTTAATTAAGAGTCTGACATTTCTCTCCATGTATGTGTGACATGATGTATACAGAGACTCAGAGAGACCCTCACCAGTAGACGTGTCCAAATATGTTCCTCCTCCAGGCTCCTGGTCTGCCTTTTTCCTGTCCTGTCTGCAGCAGACGCAGTGCCGTCTCTCTCTCATTCACCACCGTCTCCAGCCGGAACATGGACCGCTCAATCTGAGAAGATGGAGAGATTTACCTTAGCTGAGGCTTGTACTTCACCACCACTGGAACACACAAAACTGCAAGGACAAACCCTGTGTCCCACTTAATTCTGTCAAAGGCTGAACCACAGTTGATGCATCAAATGTAATTCACTATTTCAACAGTGACGGTGGAGATCAGTTGAGGGCCATACCAACCTTCCTAATTCTTTCTGGACTCGGCATCTGAACCCTTTGCCTTTTTGCTTCCTGCTGAAGTGTCAGCAGCATGTTCTTTTCTTTCAACAGCACATACCTGAGATATAAGGAGTGCGTTACAGACAGCAGATCAATATTCATACAGTCTGAAGCAGTTTCTTGATTTCCACAGTCCTTACCACAGTTTGTGTAAATCCTCGTTGCTCTTTGTTCTCAGTTGTTTGGCTGTCCACGGTGCTCCTATAAAAGTTAAGACAAAAGGAAACAGTATGAAAAGCCATCATCATGACTATACTGCAACTATAACTGTGCTACAGCAAAAGATTTCTCCAAAAATTGTCACAATTGTTTCTCTGTCTATTTTAAAGTTGATCCATATCCAGATGCAAATATAAATTTTCAAACAATGTTCTATCATTAAACCCACAACCCACAGTAGAGACATGAGCTCTCTGAATGCTACAATACTTGAATGTTTTACCTGACTTCACGTTGGTCTCTCCCCAGTTCTCAGGGAAGTCAAAGAACTCTTCCAGTCCTCTTCTGCTGATGGTTGTGTGCAGAGCTCGACACTGACCCACAGAGCTGATGGGACTGCACCAAGGCAGGGCAACGAGAGGAGACAATCCCCTGGAGATAAATCAAAAACATTCAAAGTCTTCTTTTATATCCAATCCAATTCAATACAACTTTATTCATCCCTGCAAGGGCAGGTGTATGCACCAGCTCCCCTCCCAAATCAACAGATAAACACACAGAGTAGATAGGAAAATGGGAAGATCCAGTTGATCACAAAACTAAAAACAATCAAAGTCTATCAGCTTAAAATATATGTGGAATGGGCAATACATACATTGATAAATCATTATAAATATAATAGCAATAACTGACACTAACAACAATCTGAAGGGATACACAAAGTAACGAGGCATTACTACAACTACTACCACTACTACTACTAATAATTATTATTATTATGATAATGATAATAATACAATTAGAATGATTATAATACACTTAAACACAAAAAAACAAACTATCCTGCAAGTATTTAAAAATAATATATTGTTGGGCTTTCAGATTCAAGCTGTTCCTTCCTGTTTTGTCACATTCAGTAAATAAGTTTACAGCTATTCTATTGTATATCCACTCTGTGACTGGAAACAGTAAATAAGCTAAGTCTGTGACACGATGTCAGTGGACAAACCCCACACGTCAGGAGATGAAATGGCCTCATTAAACAAACTCCGCGTCCTCTGATTTCTACTTTAAATTGGAGGGACTGCTGTAGGCTGAAGGACTTTAATGTTCACAATCCCTGGTACAGATACGTGAGTAGAAGAGGAGTCCTGCGTGTTTCATTAATTTTATGATGAAGCCTGTCAGCGCGTTGACTTTACCGTCGCTTCATTAACACACAACAACGTCCTGTTTTAAATCACTGCAACAGCCTCTTACCCGTAAACATGATTCTGGCCTTTGGTCACATTAACAACACAGTGTTGCACAGTTATCGTTGAGGATATCCTACAGACATTTTGAAGCTGTCTGCAAAGAGTCAAAACGCGTCCTGCCGCCGAGGACGCCGCCATCTTTGCCGTGAGCCTTCCCACAATACCCAAGATGCATTTCTTTTAAATATATTTATATATTTATTCCGAACAAATACAAATATTTATTTTTAATTTTACGTGATTAATAATTAGCCCATTTGTGTTATTATATATCATATCATTACCGTTATCATACAATTAATCTAGAATTAAAAAAGTAACATCTGACGACACTGAAGTTAGCTTCCGATTCGGAGGTTAAGGAAGTTATGGAAAGGATAATTTGAGATCCTCTTATTGTTGTGAAAGGGTCTTAGCAGTTAAATTAACACTGTGGTCTCACATATTTAAATCTGTGTTTATAAAGGCTTCAGTTTTTCTAAGTCCAGATTCATTCGACAGGTCTACATAAAGTGGTTTTTGATCGAGACCTTTTACGCCTCGAATCTGAAGCTAACTTCGGCGTCGTCCTCCTCTGCCCTCATTAAAGATGGCCGTTTCGGCTTCACTTCGTCATTGACAGATCACAGTCCGTGTGTTTGCACTGTTCTCCCACAGTAACGATGGTGGGTATGAGTGTACTCAGGTCTGCTGCTGCATTTGCAGCCAGACTGAGTCCTCTTAAATCTGGAAATACTGCGGCAAATTTACTCACTCGAGCAATCCCACGGACAGATAAAGGTAAGAGACACTATGGTTGTTTAAAAAGTGACCAGTTTGACCCTAAACGTGTCCGTCTCTTCTTATGACCTTGCGCCGGGGTTTGTTAGCTTGCTAACATGAGCTAGCTGGTAACATTTGCTCTGCTGTCAACAAAAAGTCAAAAACAATAACTTAATAGTTACAGATAGCTGCTCAGTCTTCATATCATTGGTATCAAACTGACACGTTTGTTGTTTTTCAGCGTCTGAATGATAAATTGTCATCTTAGTAATATTACTATGTTAAAGTTCTTACTCAAAACACTGGTTTTCTGTTCAAATGAATATATTTAATATCTACTAACTTCTGTAACAAGTCGAAAACTGAAATACGTGAGGAAAGATGTATATGTGTTGTAGGATTTTACCTCAGTTAAACGTTTAAAGAGAAATTGACTCAATAGGATGCACATTAAACATCTTACCACATGATTCCAACAAAATTAGTAAATATTGCAACATACTGATATCAAGATAAAGTTGCAATAATGATTCTAATAATAATTTTGCCCAACCCCCGATTTATTAACAAGAAGAATCTGACGGATGATCAACAGTATTGTGAATATGAGGCATTGATACTACAGCCATATAAGTTCAGAACACTGACATTAACCTCTGAAATCAGGGAACATTCAATCTGAATGACATTACATCAACAACCAGAGCCCCATGTTGTCCAGTCTCATGTAATATCAGCATGTCAGTGTATCACCAAAATTTGCATGATAAATACCTGGTCATCACAGCATCCCCTGTCTTTTTTTTCAGCTGTCGTCCGTTGGGGTCATGGAAAGAAAATGTTTATCATCAAACCCTCTGACTACTATGACAGGAGGTTTCTGCGCTTATTGGTGAGTGGTGGAACACCATCTAATTTATTAATCATGATCATTGCTAATTAAGGGGTTGCATTGAAGGAGTTGCATTGAGCTCAGCAATAGAACAAGCTTACACACTTTGACTATGTACATTACATGTAGAAAGAAACAATAGCATCAAGCAGCAATTATTCCTGATAAGTTGGTTTGGTTAGACCTTCATACTTAGACATTGCAAAACAATTGCAGAGTTTAACATTTAATATTTTTCTTATTTTTTCTCAGCAATATTACATCCTGCTGACTGGCATTCCTGTGGCTGTCATTGTCACAACTGTGAATGTCTTCATCGGTAAGTAAGCATATTTCTTAAAAGTACATTTGTGTATTTTAGTACTTTATTTGGATGAGTTGAAATATTATCAATATTTGGCATTGAACTTGAGTATGATTGTGTTGTGAAGGTGAGGCAGAGCTGGCTGAAATTCCTGAAGGCTACGAACCTGAGCACTGGGAGCACTACAAGGTGTGTGTCTTTTTCTGTGATTCTCTTTCAGAGGGTTTTCTGAGTCACTGCTCAATGCCTTTGCAATACCAGCCTTAAAAACAGCAGTGATATTTAATGTGACTGCTGTCTGCAATTTTTAGACCCTATATATTTAAAGTGTTATATTGTGCCTACACAGTCTGCTGTTATTTATTTTATTTTTATTTTTTAAAATATAAATATAGTCATAGAAAAGGATCTCTTAAAACTTAGCAGTATGGTTGTGAGTATATCATGGTCTCACAGATGTAACCGTGATTATAAGATTTAAGTAGTTATGACTGACCATTTATGATAAAAAAAAAAAAAAAAAAACACCCTTAAAACTACTAATGGTTTTAGTCAGCCCTGTAATCACAATAATATTGCACTGCAATATGCATACTTCACGTGATTAGAGAAATACTGAAATTGTTGATAATCCTGTACTTTGTTTGCATCAAATACCTTTGCAGTTATTACAAATACTTTTGTCTTTTATGTTGTTTTCCGTGTGATTGCAGCATCCCATCACCAGATGGATAGCACGAAACTTCTACGATTCCCCAGTGAAGGACTATGAAAAGATGATGGCAGCAATCCAAATAGAGAAAGAGAAGGCAGACATGAGGTGAGTGTTATTACCGGGCTGGTATGTTGTCATCCTGCCATGTGTGAAGCCCAGTGGGCAGTTGCGCTGCAGGGACAAAAAGACATTTCTAACTCTTACGAAACTTCAGTAGTGACACACACACACACACACACACACGCACACACACACACACACACACACACACACACATACACACACATATGTATCAAATTTATTTTGAGCAACAAATAACACAACAACCAACCATGTAACAGAGTTACATAATGCAGCATTACTGCACCATTGTATTATTGTACTGTCCAGACATCTATTCGACAGGTTTTATGTTAACAAATGTTAGCAGATCTCTCACAAAGTTTTGTCTGGTTGAATGGCTGCAGTAGCCATTTGTCCAGTCATAAGGCTGTGATTCTTTGCTTCTCGTTATAAATCATAAGCTATTTGTGTTATGATGCATTACTGTTAACAAATGACATGTTACACACCAAACATATTTTTTATGCACAAGACTGGATATGAAGCAAATTTCAAACACATGTACCGTGTAATGCCAGACAGATGCAAACTGTGGTCAGAAAGTGCAGTGCACTGTAAATACAAGAGCAAATCCTGATCTTGATAAGGACTGCAGAGGTCATCTGCAATTTATGACGAAAAAGAGTAGTTGGTCAGCTCTTTCTGTGGTATTTCACCGCAGTGGCAACAGGGGCTACATTGAGTGTAGAGCTGCAGATTAAAAAATGATTCAGCGTTCTGTAACTTCCAACATGATAAAATAAAATCACACGATAATCAGCGACTAGTTTCTGTTCCTTTTCATTCAACCAGCTCTGGATGGACGTATTCATCATGTAAGTGTGGCATCATCTTTGATGTTTTCGTTGGTCCAAATGTGGGACTGTAACTCTGTGAAACATGTACTAAGCATAATGGTTAAAGGAAATGCTCAAATCCTGTCTATAAGCACCTGAACACAAAGCAGGATTGACATAAAGGCACTAAGTCTTAAGTCAAGTTTAATCACACAAGGATGTTAATGAGATTCAGCGTGCAAACAAAAAGGAAGCTTTGATTTTTCTCCTGGCTTTGTGAAAAGTGAGTGAAGGCGTTGAAGCACTGCTCTGTGATCCACAACTCTATTACTGAAACATGGCTTCATGGATTCACTGACTGCTTTTTGTTGTCAACAGAATGACACAGCTGGAGGTGCGTCGACACATGAGAAACAAGGGAGATGGCCCCTGGTTCCAGGTTGAGACCCTCGACAAGGAGCTAATTGACAACAGCCCCAAGTCAACACCTGACAACTAATCCAGATGTGGCTGCCATCAGTACATCATGCCGATGAATCTCACCGTTTGTACATTTTCCCCCCTTGCGTAAATAAAGTATCTGTATGTACTCTGATATTTGGTCTTATAATGTCTTTACTGGGTCCAAGCTGAAAAAATATGTTCACTCTGTGTCGATACAGTTATTTAAGTTTTATGTAGCTTACGTTACATTGGGGAGCGGCACAGTGGCTCAGCATACAGCATGTTGCCTTACACCAAAAAGGTCTTGGGCCCCTCCTGTGTGGAGTCTGCATTTTTTCCTTGGGTAAGTTCTTGGTTGCTCCTGTTTCCACCTGTAGCACAAAGCCATGTAAAGTAAACAGCATAGATGAGTACACCCTCTATGATACCTAATCAATTAAATGATTTCTCTTAACAAAAAATATATATTTCATATGGTGTAATTTTCCTGCAATTCTTTATTTATCAGTTACTGATGATACATGTGATTACTTACAGGAAAATACAGGAAAATATTATTTTCTCATCAAAATGGTAAAGGCCATCTTGCAGAAATGAGAATATCTCCCTGAAATTTACAAAATAACACTCAATGTTTTTTTTTGGTGCTCGTTAAGGATAATTGATCACTGGAGGAGTCCCACTCAAACAGGTGTAATCATTTGACAATTAAAGTGGTACTTAGCCCATTGAATCACTTTGAGACTTAATGTGGGCAACAATGGCACCACATGGGGGTGAATTGTCTGGAGACTAAAAGAAAAGTAAGTAAGATGCACCTGCACAGAAGTGGAGGAAGCCACTGCTGAAGCCAAAGCAGAACCTTTGTATAACCTTTAAAATAAAACTGCATGTGAAATTCAAGTTTGTTCATGTGAAACAATTTTTGCATGTGTAGAAGAGATTTTTATGTTTAAAAAAAAAAAAAAGAAAAAAGTTCCCACACTGACACTGAAGTTAGAGGTTGTTTTTACACCTGAATCTCATTGGACAGTGACAGTCCAATCACAGAGCAGAGTCCAGCTAGAGGGCAGGTGGTTCTGTTGATGAGAGTGTGTGTGGGAGTGTTTGTCAGACCGTGGGGGAGCTTAAAGGCTATGGGGTATGGCTGTGTGTGTGTGTGTGTGTGTGTGTGTGTGTGTTTGTGTGTGAGAGAGAGACAGTTTCTTGGGAAACACTGGTTGATGGGAATCTCCTCACACTGTGATAATTACGCACATACAGTCATGAAAGGCTGATGTCTCTTGATCACAGATGATGAATGCAATTAAGGAGCGCGTCCACCTGGTGGCAGAGCTGTGCAGACAAGATGATTGCTGCCTGATGGGCGAAGACCCTTTTGGCAGATGGGAGAGATGCGGGGTTATTAAATGTGTCTTTTTTTCGGTGACTTCCACCAGTTAATATAAACGCAATATCCTACTCAAATGTAAAATCAAATATACAATGACCCCCACTCCTTTTTTTTTTTTTTGA